GTGAATATCGTGGGTCGAAAACATTATAAATAATTTTTTAATACGTTCATGAAGGACTAAAAAAAGTTTGTCATATGACTGATGAAGCGTGAAACATTCATTCAGCGCATTCCATATTCTAGAAATATTTTATCATATTACTAGTTTGATGATTGATGCTATAAAAATTACGAAAACTTATGATCGACTGCTGAAAAAAATGCTCAAATGGCAGTTTTTCTTTATAAAACCAACTTCGAAGACAAATTTTTAAAAAAATTTTTGATTTTTTTCAATTTTTTAATTTGCAAACTCTCTTAAACCTTACCTCATAATTCTCTTCTTTATCCATTCGTCTTCTGGACTTATTCCTTCACTTCAATTACCCGCAATTCCCATTTTTATCCATTCATCTTCCATTTTTCATTTATTCATTCTTATCACTTGTCGAAGAGAAAAATTTAATACATAAGTAATACATTTTATTGCGTCGATTCAAATGATTCATAAATATTAAAATAAACTAAATTTTCACTTTTCTTTTTTTTAAATAAATAAACAAAGAATTTTTTTATTTATTTTATTAAAAACTAAGAAATTATGGAAAATTTAAATCGCAAATTATAGTTTGTAGTTGACATATTTTTATTCCTCTTCTAACAGTCATCATTACTGGTTAGGTTACTCCAACGGCTACAAGGATAAGACATTTCCAAACTGCGCGATATGATGTCGACAGTAATAGAAGCCACTCTTTTTTTCCATCATCTAAGTCCATATATTGCTGGTCCATCTATACGTTCAAAATCTTTTCGGATCGTATTAGTCCAGGTCTTCATTGGCTCATCTCGCTTTTTATGCCATCCATCACAGGGTTTAGCAAATAATAAAATTTCTTGTGCGATGAAGAACGTACCCTAACCAGCGAAGGCGATGATGGTAATGTTAAGTGGTATGTAAGTGGTATTTGAACGTAGTTGGATGCAATCATGTGAGATTTTATCCACTCGGCAGATCCATAAAATCTTAGACATGAATGGCCAAAAGAAAATTACTTCTTAATATCCTTCATTCTCATAGGCTATACAGGCCCGGACTTTTGTTTTTTAGTGATTTCGCGATGAGTCCATGAAAGTTCATCAACAGGAACAAAGTATTTCTAGCTGCCGTTATCCAGTTTGTAATTCCGTCTTGTATCTGGCCATTCGGTATTAGAGTGGATTCAAAATATTTAAAATTGGGCACTTTTTCAATCGGCAATGAATTTATAAAAAGAGGTAACTTGTATATACGATTGAAAAGACTGTTGTTTTATTTACGTTGACCGATTCTCGCTGCGTTGCTGACACATTGTTTAGTATTATCTGCGAATCGCCAATAGAAGAAGAAATTATCTTCGTTATCCATAAGCTCAAGGGCAGTAAGACTCCAGGAGATGATTTTTGAGCTTAACTCTTCAAATGTTATCCATCGTCCTTTATAACGCATTCGACAAATTATTTTCTGTGTGCAAGAAAAAAATATTACCAGATGACTGGAGCAAAGCAATTTTGCTCCAAGTTCACAAAAAAGGTGACAGGGCATACTGCGACAATTATCGTTATCGAGAAATCAGCTAGACATACTAGACGTCCCAGTGAAAATTTTTGCTTCCCTTTTAATAAATAGACTTATAATTGTCCATTATAATTGTCAGCAAAAAGGAAATCATCAATGTATTAAACATCTGTGATATGATGCTTCGAATTGATTTGTACACCTTTTAAATGCCGACAAGGGGAAGCCATTATCCAGTCTATTGTATAATTGAATACTTAGAGGAAAGGACCCAGCCTTAACGCACATCAATACTTATTTCGAAGGAGCCTATCATTTCCCCATATAAACAGACCTGCGCCGACCTGTGCTCATAAAATGCCCTTATGAGTTGAAAGTTGAATGATTTTCTCTGGAACACCATCGCGTTCCATCACCCTCCAAAGTGCCGCTCTATCAATTAAATTAATGAATGAAATCAATTAATGAATAAAAGGCAGTAGCAAAATCAATGAAACACCTGGTAGCAAATATCTGAAGCGATGTTCCAACATCCTTTTTAACGTGAATATCTGGTCAGCATAACCCCGCTCCGGTCTGAATTCAGCTTGATTAGGGCGCATCCTGCTGTCCCGTATAGCCATAAGTCTATTAATTAAAAGGGAAGCAAAAATTTTCGCTGAGACGTCTAGTAGAGCTGATTTCTCGATAATTGTCGCAGTATGCCCTATTACTTTTCTTGAGAATTTGGAGCAGAATTGCTTTGCTCCAATCATCTGGTAATATTTTTTTCTTGCACATAGAAAATAATTTATTGAATGCATTATGAAGGACGATGGACAACATTTGAAGAATTAAGCTCAAAAATCATCTTCTCACCTTCTTATTGCCCTTAAGCTTATGGATAACGGAGATTATTTTTTCTTCTGTTGGCGATTTGCAGTTGCAAAAATATAGTTCGACGAATATATGTCCAGGTCAACATAAGGTGCATCATGGTTGAATTTGGCCTCAAAGAATCCCTTTCATCTTATGAGGCGATCCTTAGTATTCTTAACAGGCACACCATTACTATCCCTTAACCCTTACCCTTTCTATTACTATTTCACTGATCATTTCCTGCGTTATAGTTGCTTTATGATTAAGGCGGAATAGTTATCGCCTAATCGAGTCGCAGTTTCCATTCTTAAGGCTATATTGCTCCAACAATTTCTACCCTTTTCCACTCAGCTTGTTATAAATCTTCGAAGTATCCGGCAGCCAGAAACTCCTGACATTCGTGCTTTGGCAGCGTTTTCAGACAGTTGCTTCCGATACCCAACTAGCGCACTTCCTTCTAGTATGCCATAGCGTAGAAGTGGCTGACTTTGGACTGATTTGCACACCTCTTGAGTGCCGACAAGCAATGTCCATTATCTATTATAGGGGAAAGGACGCGGCCATGGGCACCATTCCTTATTTCGAAAGAGTCTCTCAATTCCCCTTATACACAGAACCTGCCAATGTATGCCATTGTATGCTGATAAAATACCTTTATGAGTCGAATGATCTTCTCTGGGACATGATCATAATCCATCTCTCTCCAAAGTTCCGTTCATTAAATTGAATCGAAGGAAGCTGCAAAATCGATGAAACACGTTACGGTGGGTTGCTGATATTTCAAACGTCAGCATGAATATCTTGTTCAGCACAATCCTCCTAGCTTGGTGGCACATCCTGTTATCTCGTACTGCCATAAGTCTATTCAGAAAAAAGAAATTTTTCACAAAAATTTTCCCTGAGACGTCTGGTAGGCTGATTCCTCCGTTGTTACAACACGCCCTTCACCTTTCTTAGGAAGTGGAAGTTTGCTTTGTTCAAAATACTTCAGTCATTATTTCTTTCTTCCATGCCACTGTTGAAAATGTGCTGTGAAGGGCAATGGATAATATTTAAATATTTCAATCCGAAGACCATCTCCACGAGTTTTATTAGCCTTAAGTTTCTTGATGACAAAAATTATTTCCTGTTCTATTGGGGGTTCGGAGTTGGTTGGACGAACATTTCAGTTATATCCGAGGCAACATATGGCGTACCATGGTTAAGTTTGGTTTTCTCAAAGAATCCCTTCCATCTTATGATCCTTAATAGTTGCTTCCGATACCCAACTCTTAACAGGCATGCCATTGTCCCTTACTATTTCACTGATCGTTCCCCATGTTATAGTTGTTTTATGAAGAAGAGAGAATAGTTTCCTATTATCGTCTAATCGAGCTTCATTCTTGAGGCCACTCCAATAATGATTTCTGTCACTTCTTCTGTGCCACTTTTGTTGCAAATCTTCGAAGCATCTGGTAGTCGGGATCACCTGACATTCGTGCTGTGGCACAATTTTCGGGCAGTTGGACAGTTGCTTCCGATACCCAGCTAGCGCACTTCCTTTTAGTATGCAATAGCGTGGAAGTGGCTGACTTTTGAAGACATTCCTTTAGTTTGGATCTGTATTCGTTGCCGTTTCAGAAAAGTCATTGATATTTGTACCACTGAAGTACTTCAATTTGGTTTGAAATCCTTCCTGAATTTCTCAGTTTGAGGTAATTGAAAGATCTTGGAGGATACTGCTTGAGTTGTCACTTTTATGTGGATCTTGGCTCAGACCATAATACTGTCAAATCCATGAAGATTGCTTATTTGAAGCGCCGCGATAGGAACGATTATCTAACATGGAACTCTTCCAGTGGTGACTGATTAAGAGATAATTAATCTGGTTGGAGTGTTGGTTTTCCGAGGAGTTTCATGTCTAAAGACTAGATATCTTCTCCGATGCCAGAAGCATGTATTAGTAATAAAGAACTCATACTGTTCAGTAGCGAAGGCTTCCCCTTTGGCACACTGGACTATTATGTTTGCCAATCATCGAGGTCATCGCAGTGGCATTATAACCCACATGCGCATTCCAGTCTACCCCGATTATGACCATGACCAAAGTAGAGACTTTTGTTAGCAACTGAAATTCCGCGCAGAATTTATCATGGTCATCTGCCGACAAGCATAGGCGCTAATAACTGAAATACTGCAGATAAAATAGGCAAAAGCCACACTTCCTTATCGGTTTAGTCAAAATGGAATTCGCTTTGTCAGGCGATCGCTACGTCATTTCGCCCCCTAATTATCCGAAGCACCACAGTAATATAGTCGCCTGTACTCCAAGTCAGGATTAGTAATTACACGAGACTCGAAGTGGGGAAGATGGATCTCCGACAAGCAGACGATATCCACACGATATTTAGAAAGGGTGTGGATAGTAATCGCTTAGCTTACAACGTCCATAAGCGTTTTAACATTCCACGCTGATACGGCTAAGACCTCGCCGCGCGCGCAGAGAGCCGTTCCTCTTGATAGGTTTCGAATTGTGCTGATTTGCGAGCATATTTTATTTATGAATCTTGGAATCGCTTGAATTATATGCTTATTGCATGTACCACTGGGCTGGGAGTATCATGTTGATGACGCGGAACGCGGACGTCGAAGAGACCAGGCTCTTTCACCATAGAGTCATTTGGGTATAGGGTTGCAGGCTCCGCAGCAGCCACCTGGGTTTTTGATATGGCAGGTTTATTCTTGTCGAAGACAAACTTTTTGTAATATTTGTTTTTTATTTTAATATTAATTAATAGCAGTATTAGTATTAATTAATATTAATTAATTAATTATTAATAGTAGAGGTGGGAGAAAATCAATACAAACTTTTGTAACTATAAAAAACCAAAAAAAACTAAAAAACAGAAATTTAGAAAAAAATTCACAAGTTTTAGATGCCCAAGCGAAGTAATAATCGATTATCAATCAATAATTACGAAAAATATTATTAGTTATAGCAGAGCAGTTGGACGAATCGACCGGTCACTCTGATAACGCTCTGATCGCCTTATAGTGTTGACATGTTATGGATAAAAAATAAATTTTTCATTAAAGTCCAGCGTGCTTGCTTCCAAAAATCTGTCAAAATTGTTTTTTAATGTTCTTGAATTTAGACCGAACAACCAGTTGAAATTTGTGATGAATCGCTTACTGTGCAATATGTGAATAAAGCTTATGAATCTCATACTGGTCATGCGAGGTACGCGACACTATAAATTGGCATACGAGGCATACAAAAGCATTATATTGACATCATGAATTCATTTTTTATATTGGCCCAGTGGTTCTCAATGCAGAATGTGAAACTTTTGAGATCCTTCCAATTCCTACGGCTAAAAGCACCAATAATGTAATAACAATTTCCAACACAATAAATGCTGGAAGATATGGCTCATGTAAACCAAAACTCCTCACCTTAATAATTTTTAAGAGTTTGAATGCTCAAATGTTTGAAAGGGTTATTAAGAGTCCTAAGGACAGAAATTTTCGGAATTGAAAACCACTGTAGTCCATATACAATCAACATTGCTTTTTTTCAGAATTGAATTTTGAATCGAGCTTTTTTGATTTAAATGTACTCTTTCACTGAATAAATCCTATTTAGTTTATCTGCAAAAAAGATAATTTTATTAAAAATTCATTCCGAAGATTACTTGATAAAATAAATAATACGAAGTTAAGGAGTGAAGTTATCGGTACGAAATCTTCTGAAATGCGTCGGAAATCGTTACAAGCATGCACTTATCGAGCTAAAGATGCTGAAGTAGATCGCCGACCAAGTACGGATTGGCATTGTTTTCAAATTCCTGGAAGTTCACTTAGGTAATTGCTTTGATAGAATTACCAAAAAATTTAACCAATATTTTCCATTTCATCATTGTGCTATGGATTGTTATTATTTTGAATCGAGTAGTAAATACATTGCTTTGACTGAATTCATGCGTCATGGATTCGGCATTTACCTATTGATGTATGTCACTGAATGGGAAATCTAGGTGGTGCTGGGAACTCCTATATACTAGTCTGCTAGTCTTCTAATCTTCTTTATAGTTCTTTTATATAAAAATTCCTTACCAATCAATAAAGGCAATCAAAGCAGAAGTGAGGGTGGTGGGTGGGGAAGGAAGCACTTATACAAAAAGAAGCCCTGCAATACTTCCATTTTCCAGCTAAGTTTATGGCATTGTTAACGATCATTGTTTCACCTCTCCCATGCAGGAAATAAGCTAAGATTATAAAGGCGTAAATCGAATAAAATTTAATTTATTTAATTTACTTTAGTTCGCAATATGTTTATATAAAGAGAAATAGTAGTGATGGAATTATCTATCGCGACATGTCCTTAAAAAGTATTCGATCACAAAGTGCCCTTGTCGATGCGCCTATTAGTGAGGTGAGTGTTTGAAAAATCTTCTTAGTCCATGAGTTTCATTCATGTTCTTTATACGAGAGTAAACTCATCATTCAAAAATGAAAGCTGGATGATAACCCACATAGACAATTCCCAAGTGCCTCTTTCGTGAAATGGGTTTCTTCTAGTGGCCAGTGAAGCTAGAATTTATAGAATTTATTGCATTGTATTTTATCAACAATAAGCCGAGTTGAGGTACTGATTACTTTGCGTGATGCATTGGCACGAAGTGATGGGGAGACGCAGCAACTTCTTTGGGACGCCATTAGAGTAGGTTTTTCGCATTTTACACTAACTAATACGATAATATTCTTTAATATATTATATTTTTTTATTGAATTTTGTTCATCTTTTTTCATCATATTTTTCTAATTCTTCGAATTCTGGAAGATAGTTTTCCGTTTTATAGGCATTATAGGTTTTATAGTGAATAAAACGAACTGAACAGTCAAGTGGTTATTATTTAAATTAGCGAATCCTGGCTCATTTCTCATTCGGGTTCGAGTCATAATTGTGACTCACCTATTTTTATCGGCCAGGTGGCCAAAAATTTTTCATCAAAAGCGAGTCTAATTAGGAATGGTGGTTGCCAAGCAGCTTGCTTTTTTTGTTGTAAACTAGAAATAAGATATATTAGCAAAAAAGCTGAGGAGGAATCTCAAACAATTTGTAAATTAAGACCATAATTTTTGAAGATTTTCTTCGTTTAGGTATATCTCATCCTATTTTCTTGTGCATTTTTTTAATATAAAATTTTATTTTTCCTAATTTTTCAAATTTTTTTCTTTTTTTTGATCATTAGTTATACAAGTTATCTATGAAAGGTAATAATAGTAAAACATTTATTTTAATCATCGTTTTGTCTTCATCTTCTTAGTTTCCCCTATTTTATTTTTCTTTTTTTGAGTCCCTTATAAGTAAGTAGTTTTTTACATTATTACTTGCTATTTTTTCGATGATTCAAAATCGATTCCAGTAAATCCGAGATCCAAGTCTTAATTTTCCAAAAAATACTTAAAATTATGATTTTTTATTAAATTTTATTTTTCATCTAAATTACTAATGTGCTTATTAATTAATGAGATGAATATAATTATCTCAATAAATTATTTCTTCTGTCAAGTAATTCATTAAAAGAGCCTAAACCCTGTCTTTTTTTTCTGGAGATTGTCATAAATATTTGCGATATCTTTTTGAAGATTTTGTTGAAAATTGAAAACTTGATTTTATATGATCGATTTAGATGCTTTCCTCGTCTGAGCTTTATTCGCCGTCAATAACCCGATTTAGCAACAATGATCGGATAGCGACGGGCTATTACGACGGTCTTATAAGGGTAAATTTTTCTTTCGCTCAAATTTTTATCGAATTTGGCCAGTATTTCGCGTGGAAATTTTACTATTAAAAGGCCAATATGCTGGCCTGCTTAGTAGCATACTTGAGTTAATCGCTCGCTTAATATATTTCTTAATATTTCAGTTTAATTGGCCACATCTCATCATATACTGTTTGGTACAAAAATAGCTTTTGTCTCTTATAAAGGAAATATCATGTTTATTTGCTCAATTTTTGTCGATTAACTTGCGTCGCTTCTAAATTTCTCGTATTTTACTTATTTTGCCGTAATGTCATAATAGTATTGAAGACATTTTATGACAAAATTTACGGCAAAGTTGAGATTAAAATTCAAATTCAGGATGTCAAAATTTCTGGATGATAATTTTAAAAAATTCTTTTTCTAACATTATCTCTCAACATTACTGGTTAGACTGGTACGGCTATAAGGGTAAGACGCTTCTAAGCGGCGCGGTCTGATGCCATCGTCGACAGTAGTAGAAGCCATTCCTTTCTCCATCGTCCATACATTGATGGTTCATCTATACGTTCAAAATTTTTTCTGATCGTATCAGTCCAGGTCTTGATTGGCCCACCTTGCTTTTGACGCCATCCATCACACGGCAAGTAACGAAATATGCGACAACTCTTGTGTTGGGCGACGGAGAACGTACCCTAAACCACCGAAACTCTATGATAGCATTATTAATGGAGGTGGTATATGAATGAAGGTGGATGCGATTATGTGATATTTTAATCGTTCGGCGGACTCGTAAAATGTATTTTAGAAAGAGTGGTCAAAGGCAGATAGCAGATGGTATCTTCCACTCTCATTGGCCATGTCTCAGAGCCATATACTAAGATCGAACGAATCACGGCTATATATAGATGTAGACTTTCATTTTTATGGTGATTTCACGACGGCTCGATAAAAGTTTCGTCAAGCAAAAGAATGCATTTCTAGCTGCCGTGATTCGGGATATATTATCGTCTTTTACCTGGACATTTGTTATTAGAGTGGACCCAAGGTATTTAAAATCGGGCACTTCCTCGACCGGCAATGAATTTACAGAAAGAGATATTTTATCAGCTTCTTGTACATATTGTCGAAAAGACTTTCGTTTTGACCCTGAGTCCTATTTTTGCTGCAGTTTCTGACACGATATTTAGTATTACTTGCATTTCGTGATAACTATCAGCAAAAAGGACTACATCATCAACGTATTCAAGATCTGTTATACGATGCTGTGGACTGATTTGGATACCCCTTGAGTGCCGACAAGCGGTGTCAATTACCCAGTTTATCGCATAGTCGAATATTGTAGGGGAAAGAACGCAGACGGACACCAGTTCTTATTTCGAAGGTCTCAGTTCCTCATATACACAGACCTGTCCCGACGTATGCTTATAGAATACGCTTTATGAGTTGCAAGATCTCTGGAATACCATTCCATTCCAGTCGCATTCCATCACCCTCCAAAGCGCTTTTCTATCAATTGAATCAAAGGCAGTCGCAAAGTCGATGAAACACGTGACAGTGGGTTGCAAATATCTGAAGCGATATTCCAACACCTTTCTTAACGTGAATTTCTGGTCAGCACAATCGCGCCCCGGTCTTAATCCAGCTTGATTAGGGCGCATCCTGTTGTCTCTTCCATAAGTCTGTTGAGTAAAAGGGAAGCAAAAATTTTCGCTGAGACGTCTTATAGTAGGCTTCTTCGATAATTGTCGCAGTATACCCTATTACCTTTCTTGAGAATTTGGAGCAGAACTGCTTTGCTCCAATTATCTGGTAATATTTCTTTTTCCCATACCAGAGAGTACATTTGTTGAAAGTTTGTTATGATGGATGATGGACAACTTTTAAAGATTTTAGCCCATCTTCTCCCCGAGTCTTATTGACCTTAAGCTTATGAATAACAGAGATTATTTCTTCTTCTGTCGGGAGCTCGCAGTTGCAATCATATGGTTCAGTTATATCGAATATATCAGCTATATCAGGGGCAACAGATGGCGCTTCATGGTTATGTTTGGCTTATAGGAATTCCCACCATCTTATGAAGCGGTTCTTAATACTCTTAACCGGCACGCCATTGCTATCCTTTACCATTTCACTGATGGTTCCCCGAATTATAGATGTTTTATGAAAAAGGCGGAATAGTTTCCTATTATTGCCTAATCGAGCCACCACCTCCATTCTTGATCCCGCTTCTGTGCCACTTTTGTTGCAAATTTTCGAAGCATCCTGTAGTCAGGATCACCTGACATTCGTACTTTGGCAGCTTTTTCAGACAGTTGGACAGTTGCTTCCGACACCCAACTAGCATACCTCCTACTAGTATGCCCTAGTGTGGAAGTGGCTGACTTTCGGAGATATTCTTTTAGTTTAGACCAGTATTTTGTCCCTTAATTTTTTAGTTTGGGATAGTTGAAGGAACTTGGGAGATACTATTTTCTGCGATTTGTCAGTTTTATGCTGATCTTGGCTCGAACCATAATATGGTCAGATCCATGAAGATTGCTCCTTTCAGCGCTGCGGTAGGAACGACAATCTAATACGGAACTCTTCTAACGGTGGCTGACGAAGACATTATCAATCTGGTCGAAATGTTGGTTGTCCAGGGAGTTCCACGTGACTAGATGTTTTCGATGTGTTAGTAATAAAAAGTTCATGCTGTTCAACATAACGAAAAAGGCATTTTCCATTGGCGCACAGGTTTTCGATACCATATTTGCCAATTGTAGAGTTTATCGCAGCGACATTATGATCTATGCGCGCATTCCAGTCTCTCTCGACTATGACCATATCATATTTTGGTAGAGACTTTGTTAATAGTTGAAATTCTGCATAGAAATTATCTTTATCACGGTAATCTGTCGACAGAGTTGAGCCTGGATTAATAATCACTCGACATCTGAAATAAGGACCTTCGACAAGCAAGCGATATTTAGAAAGGGTGTGGACAGTGATTGCCTGGCTCCATAAGCGTTCCACGCTAATACGGCTAAAACATCGCCACGTGTGCAGAGAGCTGTTCCTCTCGATATGTTTCGAACAGTTACCCTGACTTGCGAGCCCATTTCATTTATCAGCCTTGGGATCACTTTAAGCCCGGATTGTGCACTTATCGCATGTACCACTGAGCTGGGAGTATCATGCGCGTCATGAGACGCGGACGTATTAAAAATATGTTAAAAATTCTATCCCTTCACCACAGAGTCACTCGGGAACAGTGATGCAGGTGGGTTTTCAGCAGCCATCTAGATTTTTGTCATAATGGGAGGTGACAAAAAATTAAATTGAAAGAAAATAATAAAATAGACAATGAAAAGAATTAAAAAGAATTAAAAAATGAAAAGGCAATTAAATTTAAAAAATTTTAAATTTAAAAATTTTAAATTTAAAATTTAAAATATAAAACATACATATATATATATATATATATTATTTATACAGTTTAATTGATTGATTTGATTTATAAATTATTTAATTTAATTTTTATTAATTTAATTTATTTAATTTTAATTTATTTTATTTTAATCGTTGCTTGAAAATTGTAAAAAAAAATAAAAATTAAAAAATTAAATTAAAAATTAAATTAAATTGAAAAATTTAAGAGGACTTAGCTGAATTATAATCAGAAATGAAAAATAATTTAAAAAATAATTTACAAAAATAAATTGAGAATATTTTTTGAAACGACCGCTCAACAAAAATTTTATTGAAAATTAATTTTAAAAAATTAATCTAGGCTAAATAGACAATATTGACAATAAAAATGAAATGATTATGTCAGCTATTTATTTTTCGTTATTAACAATATGCTAGCCATGGGCTGTTGTGATTGTCTCACTCATTTTGCGGTGATTGGTACTTTTAGTTACATCATCCAAATCGGCAACGGAAACGCTCTGTAGTTGATGCATTCAAGGATAAACGATATATAAATTTTGATGGGAAACGAAGAATCTCTGCCGATGTAAAAAATGCACTTGCGGACGATCATGAATGGACATTCAATGTCCTTCACCTTGAAAGGATTACTGAAAATCATGCTCTTAGTCAGTTGGGAATCAAAGTAATCTCTCAACTTACTTACTTTCTTACTTTTCTTTTACTTTCTTATTTGCCAGCTAACTCAATTTCAGTTTATTTCTATCACTTTCCTCCATAAATTTAAATTATTTAATAGAAACTTTTGAATTTTTTTTTTTTTTAACAGTACTTTAATTTTGCTGGTTGCATTGGGTGTTAATGTGAGACTTCTTCAGCGAAGAGTTACTTGGAGAAAAAAGAAGATAATGAATCATAAGCACTGCCTGGATTTTATTTTGACTGGCGGCGAGTTTATTCGCATTAAAAGACTTCTATCAGGAATCCGACTTATAATGGCTTAGTCCGTATCATCGTAAGAGAGCGAGTCAGCGAGGCACTACCCATCATCAGGGATTTTTGAACGTCAGCTTTTCCCCTACTGGGATTAGAACACTGGTGTCGAATTTTTCAAAAATGTTATTCTCTTATTTAATATTTCAGATATTTGAGCGGTGGAAAGTTCAAGAGACACTTCGTTGTTCAGATGATATTATTGTTCGCTGGTTTAATACAATGGAAGCCCATTACCATAATGTTAATCCCTATCATAATGCTACACATGCTGCCGATGTTCTTCAAGTATTATTACATTTTGCTAAAATTCTTATTTTTTTCCAGAGTAATGTTAGTACTGGGCATTTAAAAAAATAAATGTATAATCAGCACGATTCCGAATGGTTCTGTGGTGGTACTCCAGATCAATTTTTACTTTCGTTGCTAAATATCCCTTTGCCGAAGAAAAGGTTGGTGATAGTTGACGGAATTAAATAACGACGGATAAGAAAAAGAATTAACTCGATGAACCATTTTTTATTCTTTATTCTCTTATAAAGCATTTATTATCAATGTTCTTACCTATAATATTTTAGGCAACTTCATATTTTTTGGATTCGCCGACTGTAGCAAAGAATGTCGAGGACATACATGCGACTGCTGCTTTAATAGCAGCGTCGATTCACGATCTCGATCATCCTGGTTCTTCTTTTTCCCATTCAAGGCCTTGAATTTTATTTACTCTTTAACTCGAGTACATTGATAACTGTGTAATGTTTTTATATTCTTCGTTTAAGGTCGAGGAAATGCATTCTTAATAAATACTCGGCAACCGTTAGCATTAATCTACAATGATCAGTCGGTACTCGAGAATCATCATGTTGCGTTAGCATTTCAATTAAGTCTTCAACCATCGAATAATGTGAATATATTTGCGCGTCTTACACGTGATGAATTTATTGCATTACGTCAAGCTGTTGTTGATATGGTTCTTGCAACCGATATGAGTAGACATTTTGAATATTTAACGAAATTTCAACAAACTGTAGATACTCTTCAGGTTTGATTCTCTCTTAATCTTCTTAGTCTTACTCTTCAGATTTAATTTATATTATCGATAATTAGTTATGGCTTTAGATTGCACTTCTCTAATTTTAGTATAACTTAGGAATCGGTGAGGAGAAAAGTGGTCTAGTCGTACGTCACTTTGACTAATCATGGGTCTCAATTCCTGTTCTCTGATAGGAATAAATCCGTCATTAAAAATTAAATTTGGGTAGCGCTGAAGACTTCATTTGATTTATTTCTATAACTCCTAAGTGACTCGTTCTCATCTTATCCAGTGAAGTGGGCTAAACCAGATATGTGAATGCCGTTAAAAGAAGGAGGGATTGAACTCATAATGTTTGAACTGGTAGTCGGAGCAACATGTTACTTTCAGTGATAAATTATATTAAATATATAATCCAAAAAAATGTGGGAAGTTTTTTAGTTTTTTTGTGAAAGTTTTTGTGATTTAATACTATAAAGTATATAATATAATATAATCATTACAAAACAAAGTTTAATGATTCTAATCCAAAAAATTTTAAATAAATGATCGGCGTTTCTGGTTAATTTCTTGCTGCACTGTACGATGAAAAAACTTTTGCATTATAATTTAGGCTTTTATTTTATAAAATTATATTAAAGCAACTTTTGAAGAACTGTGACGAACCACGTAATTCGGTATCAATTTCAATATGCAGAATGATGATCAAATGCGCAGATATTGGAAATCCAACAAGAGAATGGTCACTCTGTTATAAATGGGCTATGAGAATAGTTGAAGAATATTTTGATCAGGTTTTTATCTCTTTGATTGATACCAATATACATATGTAACTATTATATATATATATATATATATATATATATATATATATAATAGTTCAAAACAAATCGCAGATCATTCCAGCTGTATTTTTCCATGCTTTGTAATGAACTGCGAAGTGGCTAAATCCCATTTCATCTGAACTCGCTTGCGGTATCGGTGAGTTATTGGTGAGAGACCTGTAGAACGACAAAGAATGAAAATAGATATTCTGTTTTTGGAGAGAAGCGTAAATCACAAATCAATAAATAAATTAATTCTTAGCTCTTACCATTTGTGGTTAAGCCAGCTGTTAGAAATTTTCTCACTCGGCGATAAGTGCAGACGAGTCAACAGTATTCGGATTTTTCAAAGACAGCTAAGACAGGTTTACATCTATCGAGTACAAGATGTACAAAAGCCGAGCCCTTGTTTGTGTCAACAAAATAATTTAAACCACTATGAGGAAGATTGGTTCAAGGCTTCAGGTTCTCATTTCCGAGCGCTAATGCTGGTCTTTTACTCCCTCTTTGAAAAAAGTAAATGGTGATTCACCTGTATTTCTGTCGCCAAGGTGTATTCTCTGGCATATTTGTCCAACGCGAAAAGCTGGCGGAGCGAGTTTATTTAACCAGTAATGGTGAAAACTCTTTTTAAAAAAACCAGAAATGGTAAGAACTTTTAAAAAATTACCTTTCCATTCGGTTGTCCTTCCTCTATAAACCTGGTATATTTCCCATTATTTGAGGTGGAATATTTCTTAGAATTTCAGACTAAAGAAGAAACCGAAAAAGGGTTACCGTTAACAATGGCACTATTTGATCGTAACACATGTAATGTGCCATTAACACAATGTGGATTCATCGATATGTTCGCTCGTGAAACATTTACTAGTTGGAGTGAATTTGCTCAACTTCCAGAGATTTTAACTCAACTTGAGAAAAATTATGAACGATGGAAGCGACAAACAATTGAGTGGAATCCAGCGAATAATCATAACCTTCTTTCGGAAACTTAATAAAGCAAAGTCATCTGAAAAGTGACTTCTTTTAGGTGCCACATATCTGGCTACTTATCCAGTAAACAACGATAATCGTTTTTTTTATTCTTAAATTTTTTAATTACTTTTGCCTGTTTTGTTATCATTTAAATCATCGAAGACCAATCACTTCAATGATTTGAAATTTGTTCTGCTCAGTTAGATATTTTTATCACCACTGAAACGTGATATATTGTCAGTGGTTAGAAAGTGTTAAAAATGATAAATTTCCATTTTTTCCTTGGGTGTTACCTTTGAGTCTTGCATATGCTAAACGATTTTGTCATTTCCGATTCAACTCCCTTCATTAAGAGGCTTCATCAAAAATATTCAAATGTCTCTAATAGCACTTATATGTTTGAACCCATTTCAGTTGTTTATTAAATTTTTTTACATAATTTATCATATTTTAGTGTTTTTGCAGAAATTATCATTTTTTGAATGTGGGTTTGAAAAATTATCCAAAAAGCATAGTCGTTCAATTTTAATTCACTTCACCTGTATTCAAAAAATTGAAAACGCTATCGTAGATTTTACTTTTCCTGAATTTCGCGAATTTCACTGAATTTCTTAAAAATATTTCGAAAAAATCAGTTTTAATATTCTCCTTTGCTAACCACAACGAATTTTCTTAATTTTATTGAAAAATTCAAATGTATTAATTAAAAATGTTAAACATTGGAGAAGTAGTAGTTTATTTTTGTAAATATTTGTGATTTTTAAGTTTTTGATTTAAAATTTTTTGCTCATTTAGTATTAATTTTTTAAATCTTTTCGATTAAAATTTCAATAAAAATTGAGAAAACCAAGTTAAATTAGTTTGTGAAATTATTTTCATATAAAAAACATATCATTTGCTGCTTATTAAAAACGATATCATTGTTGAGTTATGCTCATTATTATAATGATTTTAAATAATTTATTAATTAATTGACTCTAATTAATTAATCAGAAATAGCCTCGCAAATATTCCTTTTCTTTTCCCCGTTTCGCTCTTATTTCCTGTACTTTTTTTCAAACCTCTCAATTTGTTAAAGAATATTTATAAAAACAAAAATATATAAATATTTCGGAAAGTACGATGGTAAATGAGATTTTCTCGCTATCCTTCGAAAAAATCCATAGGTGGAAAGCTGTCATTCCTAGACAATATACGAGATTATAATAAAAAATTTCTTTATCTATAGTACTTGATAAGGAGGTTTGTTATATTTAAAAGTGTAAAAAATATGCAATAATATTACAATAATATTAGTGTTTCCAGAAATTGATTAAATGCTTATTTCTTGGGAAAATTTCAAATCATCGCGCAATATAACCATAAAAGATTATCAGAGTATTATTAGGAAGGCAAGCAGAGCCATCCATGCTTGTATAAATTCATTTGGCCAAATAAAGTTTTCAATTTTGTTATAACCTATAAATTGTGAAAACCTATATTCTATAAATTTTAAATAAAAAAAAAATTTTTGAGGATTGAAAATCTAAAAAATTAGCTAGAACTGCCACTTAATCTTTCTTAAGTAGAAATTTCATTAAAATTTCATTTATTCCTGAATTAATATGCCAATTATTATTCCATTATTATGCCAATTATTAAGTGCAAGGAAATAAATGAATTAAGATTATAATAATTAGGGATGAATTATAACTCGGGTAGCGGTAAAAATAGCGAACTGGTAAGGCAATTTGACACTTGTTAAGACTATTAAGGATCGCCTCATAAGATGAGATTTTTTGACGTCAAATTTAACACGAAGCACCATCTTGGATCCTGGATATGGCTGATTAGCTCGCCGAGCCACAAGTCTGCAACTACGAACCGCCAACAGAAGAAGAAATAATCAACCCAGAAACTTATGGCCAATAAAATTCCTGGAGAAGATGGTCTTTGGGTTGGAATCTTTAAATGTTGCCCATTGTCCTTCGCAGCACATCTACAACAATATATTATCTGGAATGAAAGAAAGAAATAATACCAAATGACTGAAGCAGACAATACTAAAGAAAGCAAGCTTCCAATTCCTAAGAAAGGTGATAGGGTGTAATGACATTTATCGAGGGATCAACCTGCTATTCCTTCTAATTGAGTAGACTTAGACATATGGCAGCAAGAGATAGCAGGATGCGCCCTAACCAAGCTGGTTTTTGGAAGCGGCTATGCTAATCATTCATTCCGATGAATATATGCTAAAATTGGAACAATACAGAGAGGATTAGCATGGGCCCTGTGCAAGGATGACACACAAATTCGTGAAGCGTTCCAAATTTTTTAAAATATTGATTGGGAAAATAGCTGCTTGAAAAATAGCAGCAAATTTGAAGAGGACTTTCTAAACCTTATAGGTCTATTAAGATTGGCACTAGATATAACACTAGATGTTGCAACTAGATTAGCTATTTCTATTTCTTTTGTTGATAGAGTCTTGGAGTCTCATTAGAGTCTTGGAACCTTTTTGTAATAGTGATCACAATATTATTCATGCTTCATTAAAATTATACGTTATGCACCTCCCTCGAGATATTCTAGAAATTACCATCACTACGATTATGAAATCTTCAGTTCTATCCTCGCAGAAATGAACTGGGATTTCTTATTCTTTTCAACTCCTTCTATTGATAAAAAAGTTAATTTTCTTAATAACATCATTTTATACCTTATAAAGCAATATATCCCTCTAAGAAAACAAGCGTTAAGTCGACCCCCATTTTTTTAAAATCTCTTTTAAAAATTGTCAAGAAGCTTTATAATAAATAATAACAAATACAAATAAATGCAAATTAACCAAATTGCCAGGTGACCTCTCTGCACATAAAGAATGTTTAAGAAGTTTCCGTAGTGTCATTCATAATTACTTTTCAAAAAAAGAAGAGAACTTTTAAATATTAATAGGAATTCTTTCTGGACCTACATCAGAAGGAAATTTTCAAATCCACGTAAACAATTAATTCTGCAACATAATGATAATGTGATCACATCTGATATTGATATTGCAAGTATATTTAATTAATATTTTTCTAGTGTATTTGTTGATGAGGATAATACTCATACTTCTTGTTTTGACATAAATCGAATTTGTTGCACTTCTCTCGGTCAAGTTGAAATAACACTACTGGATGTTTATGATGCCTTAAATAGACTTAAACCGCCCATTTCACCCGGTCCCGATAATACTCCACAAATAATTTATAAAAATGTGCAGTTTCACTATTTTTCCACTATTTTTAATTTATAAATTTATAATTTATAAGGATATTATAAAACTTGGACTTATCCCAAAATTTGGAAGCTATTTCATATAATTCCTAAAAAAGGAAGGACCTATGACCCTTCTAATTATAGACCTATTAGCCTAACATGCGTTGGTAGCAACGTATGTTGATTTTCAAAGGCTGATTTGCAACAAATTGGTTACTTATCTTGATGCCAATAATTTTATATTCCCTTATCAGCATGGCTTTTGTACAAGAAAATCTATTTCTTCACAAATATTAGCAAATCTTTCCCATTGGTCTGCATCAATTGACAATGGAAAATAATAACAGTTGTGTACCTAGATTTGGCTAAAGCTTTTGATACTGTTTCCCATAGCAAATTACTGATCAATAGTTATGGCATTATAGAGGCCCTTTATTACTGGATGTCAGATTACATAAAAGATCGTCACCAAGCCGTATGCGTCAAAATCTCTCTCTCTCTCTGACACAACACCAGTTAAATCTGGTGTTCTCCAAGGTAGTATTGCGTCATTGCTTTTTCTATTATATATAAATGATATCACCAATGTGTTACTAAATTCTACTATTTATCTTTAGATTGTAAAATTTATTATTCTCATGGTAGGCAGATAGCCCATCTCCACTGCAGAAGGACCTTAACAGAATAGCCAGCTGGCTATATGACAGGCAAATTACCCTTTCCTTTCAAAAATGCAGCATTCTTCATATCAATTATAAAGGTTCCAATTTTCCTAATTAACGGCAATATAATCAATAGAGACTCACACATTTCCGATATTGGAATAATCATGGATGAAAATCTTGATTTCGACCTTCACTGCAGAAACATGGTAAAGAAATCCTCGAAAATTTTATTTTATTTATTAAATTATATTTTTCGTTCGTTTAAGAACAAAACTGAAGATTTCCTTATCAAAATGTACAAAGCGTTCATTCTACCAGTTCTTGACTACAACATGTTACTCATCGAAATATAGTAAACTAAAATAATTGAAGGACTCCAAAAATATTTTATATGGCCCCTCTCTCCTAATTGCCATTTTAATTATAAACCTGGATTCTCTGTCAGTTCGTCGTATTAAACAAGATTTAAATTATACTTATAAGATTCTGTATGGTTAAATAGATTGTTCAAAATATAATTTAAGGTTAAATTCAAATCCAACAAGAACAAATGGGCTAAAATTACTAAAATTACTAAAACCTATGTGTAAAACTAAACTAAGGGCTCATGATTTCTTTATTCGTAATATTAAACTATTGAACGATATAGCTAGTGCGCCATCCCTAGCTATTTTTAAAAAATGATTAGATAATATCATTTATGATATTAAAAAGTTCACATGGAACTGTGAAATCTCGATTTTTAACATCCGATTTCATAACTGTATGCAAAAAGGACTACATCATTAGCACATATAAAATCTGTGCTGTGAGCTGTATACTTTTTGAATGCGATAAGACTGTCCATTATCCAGTCTCGTATAATTCAGTGATTCAGTAGGGGAAAGGATGCAGCTTTGTTAAACATCAGTTCTTATTTCGAAGGAGTCTGCAATTTCCTCATATAACCTGTCCCGATGCAATTTATGTGTCGAATGATCTCTAGAACACTGTCATCACATCCCATCACTTTTGAAAGCACCGTTCTATCAACTGAATCGAAGGCAGAATCGATGAAACAATTGACGCTGGATTGCAAAAATTTTGAAGCGATGCTAACACTTTTCTTACCGTGAATATCTAATTATTTATTTATTGGAAACCAGCCAAGCAGGGGGCAAATGCCATCTTGCTATATGGCTGGGAGATATGACCAATAACAGTGTAGGATATTAAGAAGCTTTTGACTACCATCTTTCGGATCCGCCAAGTGGATAAATCTCATAAATCTCATCCACTTTCGCCCAAATACCTGCTTTAATACTACTATCATAATACCGCCTTCGCTAATTAGGGCACTTCTTCGTCGTCTACCACAGAAATTGACGCATATTGCGCTACTTGCTAAACCCTGTGATGGATGACATCAAAAGCGAGGAGGACCCAATCAAGATCTGCATTGAAACAATCAGAAAAGACTTTGAACGTGCAGTAGAACCAGCGATATAAAGATTTAGACGATGGAAAAAGGAATGGCTTCCATTATTGTCAGCGATGTATCGAACGGATCGGAAGCGTCTTATTCTTGTAGCCAGCGGGGCCAGCCTAACTAGTAATAGAGAGCTTAGAAGAAGAAGGTAATCGGGGAAGAACATATGGAAACATGCATTTCTCAACATTCCCTGCGTTGCATCGTAATGTGCTTCCTTCGTCGTGCCGTACTCTGATGTATTTCCTTCACTGCATTCTGCTTTTATTCACCATTTCATTTATTGCATTTCATAATAAATTTGACAGAATAGAAAAAGGAATTTATCACATATTTCGCTATATGCAACGGCATAAGAAGTCGATGAGAAGATGTGTTTCGCATTCTTCACTACTGCATCGTAACGTCTGCCATCGATAAAAGATGCCACGATTTATTACCATTTAGTTATCACAAAAATGCTGATAAACGACCATTATCACGACGGCTTCAATTATTATCGATTAACAGCAAACAAAAAAATGAAATTCGAGGGATGCTTGTTATCTTTTTTTTTACTTATATGTGCTTATTATCATTTAAATATTCAAATATCGAAAAATTAATTTTCATTAATTAATTACAAATATTTCGGAAAATATTTGATTGTATTTATTCAATTATTTAATTCATTTTCTTTGTTTTAATCGTCTCTAATACTGCAATTTTAATTTGTATTATTTACATAAAAATTCCTGAACGACGCACTTACTGCCGCTTAACTTAACCAACAATTGAAAATCCCTTCCAATTTTGAAGAATTTAAAAAAAAATTTTAGACTGATTTCCGAACGGCTCAAAGGACGCAAGTCACTCACATTTTATATGTAATTAATGGCTACTGAATAATTATTTTTGGAAATGGAACGAGATTTACACAATTTTGGCAAGATGCCAAATTATAGACATGATCATTTGATTTTTTGCGCAGATATATATTCATCGTGGAGAAAATGGCGTTTGGTGATATGCCCGCCCATCGTTTTTTTGTAATTATTTTTTATTGTTTTATTTTCATTTGTTTCTATCTATTTTTATTTATTTACTATTATTAATGCTGTATTACTGACTATTATTACTGATATTTGTTAATTAATTGTTGTTTATTATTTGATTATTATTTGTAATTGTCATTTATTTCTTCATTATTTTCATTGTTTCTCTTATTAATACTTTTTTCATTAGCTCCCAACATTGCTGGCCAGACTGGTTCCGCTGGCCAGAGGTTTCCAAGCTGTTCGGTGCAGTGCCATCGCTTGCAGCAACATTTCTTTTTCCATCGTCAAAGTCCATATACGCTGGTCCGACACGCTGAAAAGCTTTCCTGATTATATCAGTCCAGATCTTGATATTAGCCATGCTTGCTTTGATGCCATCAATCGCACTGTTTGGCAAGCAAGGAATTATACATTAGTTCTGTGGTGGATGACGAAGAACGCGCTAACTAGTGAAGAGGACGCTATGTGATGGTTAATGATGGTTAATGCAAGTGTTATTTAAGCGAAGATGGAGCAGTTGTGTGAGATTTTATCCGCTTGGCGATAGCTTAGAAATGAGTAGTCAAAGAATATATATAAAATCAAATACTTCCTCAACCGGCAATGAACTGATAAAAGACGTAAAGGCTTTCGTTTTACTGATCCTGAATCCGATACTCACTACATTTGTGATGTATTGTTTAGTATTATTTGCTAACTTGATAGCGAAAGGACTATATCATTAGCGGATGAGTTGCTCTGGACTGATTTGTACACTTCTTGAGTGTCGGCAAGCAATGTCCATTATCTATTCTATCGCATAGTAGATTATAGGGGAAAGGACGCGGCTATGGGCACCATTCCTTATTTCGAAAGAGTCTCTCAATTCCCCTTATACACAGAACCTGCCAATGTATGCCATTGTATGCTGATAAAATACCTTTATGAGTCGAATGATCTTCTCTGGGACATGATCATAATCCATCTCTCTCCAAAGCGCCGTTCATTAAATTGAATCGAAGGAAGCTGCAAAATCGATGAAACACGTTACGGTGGGTTGCTGATATTTCAAACGTCAGCATGAATATCTTGTTCAGCACAATCCTCCTAGCTTGGTGGCACATCCTGTTATCTCGTACTGCCATAAGTCTATTCAGAAAAAAGAAATTTTTCACAAAAATTTTCCCTGAGACGTCTGGTAGGCTGATTCCTCCGTTGTTACAACACGCCCTTCACCTTTCTTAGGAAGTGGAAGTTTGCTTTGTTCAAAATACTTCAGTCATTATTTCTTTCTTCCATGCCACTGTTGAAAATGTGCTGTGAAGGGCAATGGATAATATTTAAATATTTCAATCCGAAGACCATCTTCTCCACGAGTTTTATTAGCCTTAAATTTCTTGATGACAAAAATTATTTCCTGTTCTATTGGGGGTTCGGAGTTGCAAGCTATGCTTGGTTGGACGAACATTTCAGTTATATCCGAGGCAACATATGGCGTACCATGGTTAAATTTGATTTTCTCAAAAAATCCCTTCCATCTTATGATCCTTAATATTCTTAACAGGCATGCCATTGTTATCCCTTACTATTTCACTGATCGTTTCCCTTGTTATAGTTGTTTTATGAAGAAGAGGGAACAGTTTTCTGTTATCGCATCGAGTCGTCGTTTCCATTTTTAGGCCATATTGCTCCAACAATTTTTGTCCCGCCGAGCGCATTATAATTCCTCGAAGTATCCGGTAGCCAGGATCTCCTGGCACTCGTGCTCTGGCGCCATTTTCGGATAGTTGGACAGTTGCTTCCGATACCAAGCTAGCGCATTTTCTACTAGCATATCCTAATATGGAAATGGCTGACGCCTTTAGTTGGTTATTGATATTAATCTGCCATTCCAGAGATATTATTGATAATCTGAGGTGCTTCATTAGTTTAGTTTAGTTTCGTTTCTTCCGAATCGTTTAGTTTGAAATAATCTTGGGAGACATTTTTTCTTGTGAGTAATTTTTCTTGGCTCGAACCGTAGCATGGTCTGGTCCATGAAAGTTGCCAGTTCCAGCGCTATGGTAACAAATAGTGCTATATTTAGTATGGAACTCTTCTAATGGCGATTGATTAGAATAATCAATCTGGTTTGAGTGTTGGCCCGGAGAGTTTTATATGATTAGAAGTCGGAAGCATGTATCAGTAATAAAGAATCAGTAATAAAGAACTCATGCTATTCGGTAAAACGGAGAAGGCGTTCTCCATTGGCCCACCGGAGTGCCATATTTGGTGGTCATGAAATTGACCAGACGGCATCGTAGCCTCGCGGGCATCTCATTCTGCTCTGATTATATCATTTTTCGTCAGAGATGTTATTAGTAGTTTAAGTTTTGCATAGAATTTATCCATATCACTGTCGCCTCCACATGATGTTGGAGCATATACACTGATGACTGCACTGAAATGTAGAATTTTCCTTTGAAGCAGGCCTAAGCCATACATCTAGAGTTATCTGAAGCGCCGCAAATAATCAGTATAGCCAGTATCGCTGCTCAGATGTTTTATAATTGCTCGAGATCCGAAATGAGGGCCTCTAACAGGTGACATCTACACGATATTTAGAAAAAGTGTGGACAGTGTGGACACTTCTTGCAATATCATCAGTGTTCTCACGTTGTTATGATAAACACCTCGCCTCGAATGCAGAGAACAAATATTTTCTCGTTTTGCTTGACAGGTTTCCAGCAATTTCCTTGGCCCGTGAGCCCATCTTATTCACAAGCCTTGGGATTTTTTTACTGCGTTGGGATATTTATTATATGTCGAAGATATCTCTTTCACTTGGGATAGGGTTACAGGTCCCCAGCAGATACCCGGATTTTTGATATCATGAGAGGTTTATCCCCATCGAATAGAAAGAGAAAAATGAAAATGAAAAAGAAAGTAGACAATTTAAAGGAAATATAAACAAGAAAAAAATTTATCTTATTGAAGGGTTAAGGTGAGACGAAACCTGTAGAAGTTTCGGGAAAATATATTAAGGCAATACTTAGCAGTTATCGATTGATACTTAGCCCAGAGCAGCTAGTTTACACGACCGCTCACAATTGATTGATTGATTTGATTTCTTTTATAAATTATTTATGACTTTTGTTTACTTATTTTTTCCAATCATTTTAATAAAATTAAATCTTTTTTATTAACTTTTATATTGTTTATTTAAGCAGTTTTTTATTTTTGCAAATTGTTTATTGAGTTTATAATTTTATAATTTTAAAATAAAATTCCTAAATTTTGAAAATTTTAAATATTGCTTTTTATGTCACTCATTTAATTTTTTTATTCTAAATTGAATATGAAAATTCAATATTTTATATTTTTTTATCACTTTATTATTACTTTTACTTTTACTTTGATTATTATTTAGCCTAAAAGCAGGTTTTGTTCATCAATTAGATGAAATCTATTAAATTTTCTTTTTTTTAGGAAACATCTTGGAATGGATGAACCAGAAGATGTAAGATATTGTGATGATGAAGTTGAAAACACATCGAATAGCCTTCTCGTATCAGGTGTCTTGGAACCAGATGTCTTATCTGATGGAAGATATCGTTGTATGTATTGTGATAAAATTTTAAAGAATAAAATCACTTACAATAGTCATCGATATCGTCGTCATCATATTGTTGTAAGGGTACGTTTCATCAATTATAGCTATTGCCAAAAAATTTTTACAAAGATTATCAAGCTAACACTGATGTTGCTGATAAGAGTATTAAACAGTGCTTGAAGACAATTGTTTATTTCTAATAAAGGTATCACATTTTCATTATAATAATGATTGAAATTTTGTAAAAATTTTGGTAAAATTGAAACTTCTGAAAATCGAAAGCAGTTTCTTAAATTTTTCAGAGTTCTGTGAAATGTCCCATAGCAGATTGTGATGAATGCGTTACTACAATTGTAACACTCTGTGAGCATATGCATGAAGCTCATCAATTTCAGTTGAGGCCTGTCGAAAAAGATTTTGCATCAGAAGCTGAATTTCAAGTAGTCATTTTAAAAATCGTATCTTAATTTTTAATAATGCTGTTCACATTAGGTATTGCAATTTGAAATTTACCTGAAAAAATCCAGAATCAACTTTTCAGCTTGGATTTCAGGAATGGTATAAAGAATTAGCTTATTCTGAAAACTGCGAATTTGTCCAACAAACTGCAAGAGACGCTTTCCCCGACAAATCAACTAAACTTATTTTGCGCTGTAACAGGAGTGGTATTGCAAAGTTAATTTTTCAAAATTAAATTATTATTTATTTATTTTTATTATATTATTTTATTGAGGAATTCATGATTCTTTGGCTTAATTATCGCTGTTGCTATTTCTTTATTTTGTCGAATTCTCTTAGGCGAAGGCGACGAGGTTATCTTCGGGCAGGTGCACTAAAAGGTTCTTGTAAGATTGGTTCCACATGTCCAGCCTATCTTCGAATTAGGACGTATGCCGATGATAAAATTAAGGCAACTGGTCAATTGAATCATTTCGGACATGAGATTGATCTGCATATTTTGCAGCTACCTGATGAAATTAGAAATGAATTACAACATTTGTTACTCACTGGGCTGAGAGAAGAGAGTGAGTTTATTAAATTTTTAGATATATTTAAGTTTGTAAATGTCGCTATTCTCGACTTATTTTCTATCTATAATATTTCGACATTTATAGAATCTTTGTTGGGCTCTAAAATATTTCAATCGGCGAACGAAGTAGAGATGGAATTAGTAAGTTTCCAAATATTATTTAAATATTAAATATTAATAAATATTAATATTAATATTAATATATTAGTATTAATTAATATTAATATAATATATTATTAATATTAATATATTATTAATAATCCCGTCCGATCTGTCAAGCGACGTTGGGCTTGGGTTAGTACTAGGATCGGAGACGGCCTGAGAATCCCAAGTGCTTATTAATATTAATATTAATATATTATTAATATTGGTATTAATAATATTTTTATAAATATTAATATTAACTTAATTATTCCATAAATAATAATTTCTTTTAATTTAGCTTAGCTCATCTTTTGAAAATGGGCAAGCAAGATCTCTGTTTGGATGTGCTGAACCAAATGAATCAAAATTATTTTTTGAAAAAGGAAGGAGAAAGGTATGATTTTTGATGAATTATAGATTGAAAATAAAAGATGTATGGGAAAAGATATATTAATATATTTCTTTAATCTTTTCTTTATTATAATTTTTCCTATTTTAAAGGGAAATGCAATGAAGCAGTTGCTAGATACAGCTGATGAGCTTCAAAATTATGTAAGTATAATAAAATATAATTTTAACCATTTTTTATTTATAATAGTTATTTATTATACGAGTGAAGGAATTAGAATCATTGATAACTATTTAAGATTCTAGTTTTATTCTTTCTTCAGATGTCTGTTTCATAATTAGTGTTTGATTATGCCTTTGGAGCAATTATTAGTTAAAGGTATTTTAATTAAAGGACAAAGTAACCGAAATTTATATTTAAATTTTCCAATTGTCCAGTTTCGAAAATTTCAGAAATTATTTTTAAAAGAATCTTTTTTAGTCCAAAAATCATTGTTGCAAAGAATGAGATGATGTTTCATTGAAGAAAAAGATAGTAATCTTTTATGAGAAAAAATTTTAAATTTATTAATTTTCTCTCTTTTTAGCAAATTTATTGTCCTGAATGTGATATCTCTTGTTTATATTCATGTTTTGAGCTGTGTGATCATATGGCTCAGTCACACAAAAGGCCATCAATAGTGCGAAGAGTACGTTGTATTAAAGAAAATTTGTTCAAGGTTGCTTATTGTTGAAAATTTCTATAGATTCTTTAGATGATAGATGTTCGACGTAAAAAATTGTAAAAAATTATTTACAGCATGAATTTAAAAGGACGTTTTTCATTTTTTGGTAAAAAAAGTATCAAATATCTATTTTATCTTTATGGTAAAAATATTCAAAACTGTATTTGTCAAAAGCCTTGAGATAGTCATTTATGGTGCCTAAAAGTCATTTATAGTGACCTAATGTATCAATCTGATACTTTTATGATATGATTATGTAAAAGAATATATAAGAATACAGCGAATATAGCGAATTAAATTTTTTTTTAATCATCCATTATCACTAATAAATTCTTTAGGATTGGCAGATGAGCAATGATATTCCTTCCCGAAATAAAAAAGCAACAGAAAAGATCAAGAAAATCGAACTTTTTTGCTGTAATCGTTCCGGCAAATTAGTTTTAATTTCTGATGATAGTTCAAGCATACCTGTTGTTTCTGGTCTTTGTACAGCTTTCATCAGAAAGATCACGTATAGTAATGGGTGATAATAAATTTCTTTTCAAACTATTTAGTTTTTATCGCTTTTATTGCTTTTGTTCTTTATTGATAAATCTGATTTGATTTTTATATCTTTTTGCATTTTTTTATAGCAGCTTTGTTTTTAGTTACTTTTTCAGCTGAAAATTTTAATGGATAGATTTAAAGGACATATCAGTTTAACTTCGTTTAATATTTTAAATTTGTTGAAATTTTTCGTATCAATTTATGCTTTATGCTTTAAGATTTTTATGCTTGGAAAAGAAAATAGCTTTATCCTTAAATATTTATTTTCTTAAATATTTCTGTCTCTCTTTTAATTTATTTATTTTTAGGCTTATAGAAAAATTTCAGATGTGATTTTCCTAAATTAAAAATTTATAAATATTTTCATTTTTAAAGGGTCATTGATCTCACATTTTGTTCCTATCATTTGGAGCATGATGCAGAAATTGCACTGCCCCAAGAAGTGAAAAAAAGGCTCGAAGATTTATTTTATTGCGGTCTTGATGAGAATTTCGCTCTTGCAATTGTCAGAGGTTTCTTAATTTACTAATTATTTTGAAGAATATTTATTTTCACATTAAATTTCATAATTTTTTGTAAATAATTTAATAATTTATTTTAATCTAATCAAAATTAAAAAAATTTATGCTATTTCAGAAGAATTCAAAGCGGAGAAAACAAATGATGCTTTAAGTTTAGCAGTTTCAAAAATTTCTTTGAATGATGCACATATTATGCGTGATCGAGCTTTTCAACGGCGCGCTGTGGAATCGATTAGCGTTAATGAGGAAAATTTGGATGAACTCAAAGAACTAGCAGAGCAGGCATTATCAGATCCTACATATGCTGTTGTTTATCTTCGCGGTGAAGCCTTCGGGGATTTTAATCGAGGGCTCGCTTTCGGTTTTTTTTTTATAGAGTTTAAAACCTAAGAATTCTATTAATCTCTAATTTTTCATTGTTTTCCACTACTTTTAGAACAATTTTATTCAGTTCATATAGGAGGCATTCCAATCATTAATTTTATGTATCGTTATATCAGGATTCATGTCTACGAATGGCTTATCTTTTTTGTACAGTTGCGGAAATAATTTGCTATGGATTGACAAAACACTCATTCGTGCTGAGCCAGAACCTTTATTTTTCGTTGGTTTGGCGATATCATTGTCTGAAAAGCGTCACTGTATGGTAGCATATCTTACGCTAAAATGTAGTGAGGAAGATATGATTATTTATATTGACCAGTTTTTGAATGAAATAGTTGCGGCATATCAAGAAGTGTAATATTTTTTGTTGTACTTTAATACATTTGTATGCAAATATTTATTTTGGAAAGAATTTTTTGCGAATATTATCGTTGTAATAATATTATTGCATTTTATGTTGTTTAATTTAAATTGGTAAAGATTTGTTTTTAATTTAAAGATTTAAAAAACTATTAAATTAAATTCAAATTAAATTTAAATTTAAATTTTTAAATTATTAAATTAAATTAGATATTAAATTAAAATTTAAATTTATTAAATTTCACGATGTTTTTATCCATTTTTTAGGTATCAAAGAACATGGACTCCGAAATTTATTGTTACTGATGACGATAATATTTATCAAAGAGCTGCACAAGTATTTGCTATGGTATATTTTTAGTTTTTCTATTTTTGGATTTTTTTCTTATTTTAATGAGTTATTTTAATGTTTGTAGAATTTCGATTATTCGGCACTTATGACCGATTCGCCACAACGCTTACGTTCTATAGCTTCAGTGAGAAGAGCATGTAGATTAAAGCTTGGTGCTTCTCGTATTGGTGATGATATAATTATGTTCCTGAATGCAGCGGCACAGTAAGAATCGTTTTCGAATGGATTTGTTAAAATTTGGTTGATTTGCAAATTTTTAAGATTACGAAAAAAGGAACTATTTTATGTAGTGGATATTTTTAACTATGTATTTCAGAGCTCGCACTCGAGATGTTCTAGAGGAAAAGTTGAATACTTTGCTGGAATATTTAGAATCTTCAGATGATGAACGTGCAAAACCATTTTATAAATATTTTTCGAAATATTGGATGCCTGTTTATCATGAATGGACGAAGGTCTCTTTCTGCGATTATAGAATCGCACCAAACGCTTTGGTCGCTTGGGCAAGCATGTAATTATAAAATATTCTATTTTAAAGATTTTGCTAAAAAAATATTTGCAGCTGTCACACATTTTCCTTGTTAGCCAGCTTTTATCGTAGAAAAAAGAACTGCTCTGTACGCTTTGTAATATTTGAAGAAGATATATTAATTGCAGATATATTAATTCATTCACTTTTTTTTATTGTTTTCAGTTCGCTTAGTCGACTTTTTATCAATTCAACTTTTGCAAATTTGGTGAAACGTGCCAATTTTATTACTTTACATAGTGTTGCTGTTGAGGTACAAAAGATGGCCATCAATCTCGAAGAAGATACTTTAGTTGATGTTCGTTTTTTTTCGGCTCTTTTATTTGATTTTATTTTGATTTTTTAGGTAAATTAAATAATATAAATGTTTAACATTCACCATTTCTAATTAACATTTAAATTCACTTCGCTGGTTGTTGGTAGTATGAGATAATTTTGCCAAAAAGTCATTTGAAGTAAGGATATAGTTTCTCTATAATAGGATTTAAGGTAGATTTTTTCATGCTAGGAATAGCCGAAATGTTTAAAATGATTATCTAGATAAAATATGTTTGGCTATATTGTCCCCATTTGTGTTTAGTCTGGAATTTCTGGGATTATCTTTACTATCAAAAATCTTGTGCGTAACATATATGCTTATGAATATTTTTTAAGAGATTGACTAAAGCGGTATTTTTATAGAATCTAATATGTGAGGAAGGTCCAAGTGGATATAAACGACGATTGATTCATAAAGAGCATGTGTAATTTTTTCGTGGATTTAAAGTTTTTTGTTTAATAATAATAATTTTTGCTATGGTATATTTTTTTACTAAATTCCAGTTGTGGACTTTAGGTTGGCAAGGGAACTAGTTGATTCCACTTCAAAAAGAACACCAATTATAAAACTTATCGATTTTGAAAAGCGAAAATTCAGCGTGATATTAAGGGATCACAATAAAGGGAAAGAAACAACTGTGCAGTTTATTTCATCTGAGTGCCCGGAAGAAAAAAGAACTGGCAATGTTTGTAAAGTAGGCCAATGTTTGGATTTCTAAATTTTATAATTTTTAACTTCATATATATTTTTAAAATCTTTTCTTTGAATTCCAATTCAAAGTTTGATTTTATTGTTTATAATATGAAATTTTGAATAATTTTTAGGTGCGTTGCTGTTATAGATCGTGCGGACTTTGTGTACACATGTTTTCTTGTATGTGTTGGTCATATAATGATGAAATTTTATGTCGACATTGTCATGTTTTATTGCCGTGGCTTCTTATTTTACCACCTATCGCTTCAAACGAATATGCGCAATCTTCTGGTCCATATGAAAAACTCATTTTAACAAATTCCAATCAAGAGCTCTTAAGACGTACAAGAAGCGGTCGCACAGCAGCGTTTTCATCCGAAGTCACTCATTCGTACAGAAATATATATAGAGGAGATATTCAAGCTGAATTGAGAGCCGAAAATATCGTTGGAAAGATAACTTCGGTAAATCAAAGATTAGAAGCTGCTGATGCTTTAACATATTTACCACATAGTACTGAAAGGAAGGAAATAGAAACCTCCGATTCTTCTAGTTCATTTTCAAATCAATTTGTGGACCATAAAAATTCCTTTCAAACTACAAATTTTACTCAAGTAAATTTTTCTATTTGAAAAATTCACAAGGATTAGCCGTAAAACAGATTAAAAAAGGTATTTATGAATGCTTCAGAGTGCATAAGCTTTCATTTTTTCTATGTAGCCTTGAAGGTTTTCATTTTTTTGCCTTAGTTTATATTTTAATTTATATTTATTTATTTGGCAAAATTTTAGGACATAAAACTGCTATTTAGAAGTATTTTCTGCGCTGTTCATTTTTTTTTTTATTTATTTTTAGGGTTCGATCAGTTCAGAAGATTCCATTTCGGAGAATGGTTCACTATTCATGCAGCCGACTGTAATCCAACAGCACACGAACGATGAAATCGGAGGTGAAGACAAACGTGGTACATATGTTTACATAAACTGTCCCTCATTGAATCGAATCGATTTCGAAACAGCTCGTTTAGATTTATCCTTGCAGTTGAACAGTCTGGTGAGTATGGGTGTTTTTTAACATTTGAATGGATCTAGTTCCCATTAAATTAATATTTTTATCCTTTCTTTGATCTAGGTAGTAAATTTCTGTTTCTTTTACAAAAAGTCGATTTAGGATTACGATAGGATTTTTCTTCAATAATTAAATATTGTTATCGTTGTACGTTTAAAAAATAGCCCAAAAATTGCCTATCAAAGTTACATTAATAGATCTCAAATTCTTTTATACCTATTTAAGACTCTTTTAATTTCCATTGATCTCAGCGATAGAATAAAAGTTACACAAAGCTGAACGATCAAAAGCTTTAAAATTCCTTTGCATTTCGTTACGCTTTCGAAATATCCTTCATACCTCCTTATATTTCATTTCTTTACCCTGGCTTTACCTGTTCTCAACTTTCTTTCTCAGATTTCGTTGTACTTACTTAAGCACTCTAAAATCCTTTATACCATCTTTTCATTTATAAAATTTTAATATTCCATAATATAGTCCATAATATTTTAATAGTCCATAATATTTGCTCTAATGTTTTCCATAATCTGCCATCTTTTCCTGTGAATCTTTTCAAGCCCAATTATATCCATTTAAATCTCCAATTTTGATTTTTTTACCATAACCCATTAATATTTTAAATTCCCACTATTCCAAGTGATCTTGGTGAATTATATATAATTCTATCGCCAGTGGTAAAATTCATTTAATCCGACGGGCTAGAGGAGTCGAGCTTAACCAAATATGTTGGGAAAAAATTCTCATCTTACCTTATACTTTATCCTCTCAGGCTAAACAGTTGTAGTTTAACAGCTCCTTCATTCATTCAGCTTATCACCTCTTAAATATTGCCTATTCCAATATTGCCATATTTCTTATTAACCTTTTATACCTTTTAATTTTCCTTCAAATTCATTACCTTGTATTTTTTTCTTGATTTTTTTTCTCTGTGAAAAATATTTTCCTCTTTTTCTTTATTTTTTTTGTTTATTTTTAAGACTACGGAAGACTTTTTATTTAATTCTGATGTCATCGTTTGTAAAGAATTGTAAATTTCTGGATTGCAACATATTCCCATTCTTAGAACAGTGAACTCTAATGTGATGAAGGAATTGAGGGTTTTTTCTCTAAGAACGCCCGCCTTTTCTCGTTAGGCTTGCTCTGCTACTTTGTCGGTTCAGATAATTAATCAAATTTAGCCAGACAATTAATCAGCGATAAAACGTAGGTGAATCCCAAACGAGGTTGAAGGGAGGTCCTCTTCAAGAAGTGGAAACTCCCATCGACAAAATGCCATTGGCATTTATATATATTATATATATTTATATTCAAATAGATTATACCAAAGGCCTTCATTATCAAATCTTCCTTCTTAATGAACTAAAAATTCTTTGATTTCATTTATCTAATATTATATTAGCAGTATTTTCTTAAATTAATAGCAAAAAGTCCGTTATAATATATTGTTATCGTGAAAATGGAACTTGTCCAATCATTTTCGTCGATATTGTTTATTATGTCTATTATCATTTTTCACAAATCTAAATCCAATAGATATTTGAATATTAGATATTTGAAATTTTTTTTTTGGTACTTACAACGATTTTTCATTTCGCATTTTTAGCAAGGACTTGAATTACCACATTCAATGCTATCACTTCTCACCAAGAATTTTATTAATTGGACGAAAGCAGTGAGACAGATTTGCAATGACCAAAATTCTGGGTGCTTTTCTAGTAAGGATGATCATTTACAGCAAGGAGTTCCAAATGAATCTTCATCTATGCAAAGACCAACAAAGGAAACATTTATTGTTAATAAACTTCGTAGTTCCGTGCTTCCTCCTACAGGTCATGATACGTATCAACCGCAAATGATGGTTGTTCTATCGCGAAGGATCGAAGATGGCACTAATTTTTTGCGAAAATATCGTCCTTCAAGTGCTGTCTCAGAAAGTCTCAAAAATATAGATTCCAGTAATCCTGTGCAAAATATAAGCGAGAATGGAGAGAATAGCAATCGGATTGCAGATAAAGTCGATCATCAAAGTTTTGACATTGTTGCATCACATAATGAATATAGCTTAGAATCAGTTAGGGAAATCGATCATGTAGGTGCATCAAAAGGACAAACAAAACAAAAAGTAACTTCTGAAAAAGGAACAGTCGAACAATTTTCCAAAGAAATGGGTAAAGAAATTGGTCGAGTCAGCAATGCTTTAGATAAATCTACAGCAAAAATTGGAATTTTCATTGGTTCAGATCACGAATGTTGCTCATCTACATCAAATGGTGACATTAATAAATTATCGCATTTGAATAAAATGGAATGTACTCCTAGCGTGAGCAGAAGGCAACACTATCGTTCAAGGAAAAGCATATCCAGCATGGAGCAAACAGCAAGGCATATGGGAGCATATGCCCTAAGGAAATCGGATTTGCTACGTCGTAATATTCGTTATAGGAATGAAATCGATCTTGAATTAGGTTTGTGTTTTGTTTTTCCAAAATTTTTCCTGATTTTTTTCAAATATTGAATAAAATATATTATGTTTGAAGCTTTTTCGCCTATCATTAATTCTTTTTTTTTTATGAAACTTAAGGATCTCCTGCAAAAAAGTCAAAAAGATGTGCAACTCAAGAAGAAGAATACATCGATGTCCTTGAGTGTAGTCCAAAAGATGAAAACACGGATGATTTTCTTGTTTATAAAACTTCTGCAGAAGCCGATGAAAATGAGGAGTTTCAAAGAGATGGCGATGAAGATTCTATTACGGTGAACTTCATATTTATTTTAGTTTTTGAATAACTTCACTTTTGGTATTTCATTTCAAAATTATTTTTTTCTGTTAAAAAGTATTTTTTTTGAAAAATTGCAGGATGTCGATGTTTGTAACAGTGTGGATTCTTTCTTCATTAAACCTGTAATGAAGACCGGGTAATTACCTCCTTAAAATTTAGTAAAATTTAGAAAATGATCTGTTTAAAGGAAAGAAAGTTGTGCAACCTGTATAGCTGTATAGCTTAAGTTTTTGAGCATAGAGTTATTTGGGGGCAAAATTTTTCCAATCTTTGGCATTTCTTTATGATATAAATTTTGGAGACTTTTTTCGATTTTTAGGAAGTATTAGGTTGTAGTTGACATTAGAATATACAATTTAAGAAATTTGCTAGAACTTACACTGTTGAAATATTATCATAATAAAAGAATTGAGTATCATTTTTTGCCACTTTTTCAATTTTTTTTTCTATTTTATTTTTTGTCTAATACAATTTATTTTAGGTAGAGTCAATTTCTTTAGAAGTTAGAAATTTTTTTTGCTGTTAAATGTGATATCTCAAATAAAGAAGAAAAATGCGTTTCTGCTGAGCAGTTCATGCAGAATATATATGAATAATGCAGCTTTCATTTTTTTATATTTCCCTTGTGCAATTTCAGTTTGGTCGTTTGTTTATTTTCTTGATATCTTAACTTATAATTGTTCAACAAAAAACTAAAAAATATAGGCCCACTGCTATTATCAAAATCATTGTTTTATATATCAAGTCTTTTAAATTTGTTTTATCTACAAAAAAAAGATTAGAAATTTTAATGGATCTTGTGTTGAATGCTAGTATAAACTATTAGCCAATAATAGTGATAAGATACGAAAGCTGCTTATCTACGAGTTAGTTTAATCTATGATAAGAAATCCCGAAATTTGATAAATTTTGCTGCTTTTTATCTTTATTTGTCAATTTTAAATTTTTGATCTTTATTGTATTAAATTTATTTTTAATTTTAGTTTATTTTTTTCCTAATTTATATGATCTTTTCCATGATTGTTAGAAATCGCTAAATGTTTTATTCAAATTTGAATATTCGATAAAGATTCCATGAAATGAATATAAAATAGTCAAGAAAAAGGTGGAATATTATTTGTCGTAATAAAATGGTTAAATCCATTTTTATTATTTTTATCTTAAATTTAAGATAAAAATGGAATTTTAGTCTATTAATTTTATTTTTATTGCAAATTTTTTCAGTTTTTAGAAGAAATTTTTTTAAAAATAGTTCTGTCTTCATAACCCTAAGGCATCTAAAGCATCTCAAAGTCGCTAACATCATTGGTATCACGTTTCATTCTTATGTTCATTTGATGTCAGATATATATACATGGATTTTAGCGTTTTTCAGTGTTGGTATAGGCATGCTTTTTTAGTCTCAGTCATCATTTGATTGTATAATGGAAATCTAAAATTTTTCAAAATTGATGCATGGGTTGATAATTAGAACAATAGCTCGCATCCCATAAAGTAGTTTTCTCTTTCTAACTGCTTTCACTATTACTGGTTGGGCAGGTTGGGCTGACTAGAAGAGTTTCCAAGCTGTGCAGTCCGATGCCATCTCTGATAGTAATCTCTAATAATTCCTTTTTCCATCTTCTAAATCTATTTATCGCTGGTTCAAAATCTTTTCTGATTATGTTAATCCAAGAATTGGCCTTCCTCGCTTTTATCGCCATCCATCAACTCTTGTGGTGGGCAACAGTGACCAGTCCTGACCAGTGAAAGCGAAGCGATGTTATTTATTCAGATGGTGTGTAGTGGATATAATCATATATTTTATTCATGGTATAAATGCGGGTGGTATTTCCTCTTAGACATGAATGGTTGAAGATGGATTGCTTCTTAATATACCACATTTTCATGGGCTATTTCTCGTCTCCAGCATCGAACAGGATCGAGCAAATTGCAATTATATATAACTTTGTTTTGATGGTAGCTTCGCGACGCATTTCTAGCTACTGTCTTCTGGGTTGTCTTTCCCTTGGCTGCTTAGGATTAGAGTGGATCCAAGATAATGTTTTTTTTGAAGTCCTCTTCAACCGACGATAAACTGAAAAAATAGGTATTTTATCAGCTTCTGGTTTATAAGACGAGAAGATTTTCGTTTTATTCAGATTGATCCGATTTCCGCTGCAGTTTTTATTTCATATAATTTTCATCAAAAAGGGCTGCATCAATGTATTCAAAATCTATGAACTATATCCTGTGCCAATGTGTGCTGATAAAATGCCTTTATGAGTCGGATGATCTTCTCTGGAATATTCTCACAGTTCATCATCCTCCAAAGCGCCGTTCTGTCAAATCGAAGGCAGCTACAAATTCGATGAAACAAATGGGTTTCGATGTTTGAAGCGATGTCCCTTCCTTCTTAACGTGAAAATTTGGTTAACGTAATCCAGCTTGGTTAGGGCTTGTCCTGTTGTATCGCCATATGTCTAATTAATTAGAAGGGAAGTGAGAATTTTCCGGAGATATTTGGTAGGTTGACTCCTGACTGACTGATAATTATCATAGTACACCTTGTTATCTTTTCTTAGAAATTGCTTTGCTTCATTTGATATTATTTCTTTCAGGCCAGAGAGTGCATTTGTATATTGTGTATTGTATATTGTGAGGAACATTGGACAATATTTAGTCCGGAGAAAATCTTTGAAAGTTTTATTGGCTTTATGCTTTATGATAACAGATTATCTCCTGTTCTGTTGGCTGTTCGCAGTTGCAAGCATATGGCTCGACGGGTGATTCAGTTTTATCCGGGAAAATAGATGGCTTTCGTCTTTAAGTTTGGCCTCAAAGAGTTCCTTCCACCTTACAATGATAATATTCTTAACAGGCACACCATTGCTATCCTGTAGTATTTCGCTGATATATTTCATTGACCCTCCCTCGAGTTGCTTTTTGAAGGAAGCGGAATAGTTTCCTATTATTACCTAATAAAGCCTCTATTTTCAAGCTATATCATTCCAGTAGCGATTTCTGTCTCGCCAAGCTGCTGTCATTATAATTTTTCGAAGTATGCGGTAATTAGGATCTCCTGCCATTCATACTTTTTCGGACAGTTTGGCAGTTGCTTCCAATGTCCAAATAGCCCACTTCCCTTTAGCATTCCCTCACATGAGAGAGGCTTTTCAGAGACATTCAGAGCCTTAATTGATGACTCATATAACTTTCCTTTGAAGTTAAAGCGGACTGAGCTTTTTCTGACATAACTGTCGCTACGCCAGTTTGCTTCGAGCTATCCAAAACACCACAGTGATAACTCTTTTCAGAGCCAGGTTTGAGAATCTAAATGAGGAAGGCGCACCTTCAAAGGCAACATCAACATGAATATTTAGAAAGAATGTGGGCAGTAATTCTGCAGTTTGCAATGTCAGTCAGCGTTCTGATGTTCCATGATGCTACGACCTTCGCACGGAGAGAGCAAATATTTTCTCATGTCCTTTGATAAGTTTCCAGCAGTTACCCTGGCTGCAGATCACATCTTATTCTCAAGCTCCGAGATCGTTGATACTATGTCAGGATTGCATATTTATCGTATAAATTCAGCTGAGGGTATCATGCGAATTAAGATTAGAGCTTTTCACATTTAGTCACTCGAATTAGAGTTACAGGTAGGCTCCCACCGGGATTGAAATCATGACGCATAAAGTAAAAAACTCAACAAAAAACTTAAATTTATTTTTTAGTTCTTTATCGTTTTATCGTTTCTATTTTTTTTTAATTTTATATGTAATTTTACTTTTAATTTATTTTTTATTCTTCTTTGTCTTAAAATTCAATAGGAACTTAGTTTAGTTTAATTATTTGTTTAATTAGCAAAATTTTAAGATTCCAGAAATAACATTAGAAAATAGTAGAGCGGAATAGAAAATATCGCTCAAAATTTTAAAAAATAAAATTTTTTTAAAAAAGTAGTCAGCGTATGAACCATTTCCCTAGGAATATTTGCTAATTTTTTTATGGAAATTGTAGTTTGCAATAGAAATTATCAGTTTATTTAATTAATTTCAAATTAATACTTTTATATAACTTCTATCAGTTTCATATGAAAAAATTTTTATAGATGGCAGAAGCCTCTCAGAGCGTTTTCAAAAAATTGATGTTTGGTGTTCGACGAAAACGGAAAATTGTCGATACCTTCGAAAGTATACATAAACTTTTTTTAATAGTTTTGGCATGAAGTTTATTTCACACGAGTTTTTCGGTGGCATAAATCGGATAAAAATTAGATGTAGATTATGTGCTAAAAGTGCTTTTTCAGATGTGGATTCTCACATTCTCATGAAAGATACATCTTCTGTTCAAAGCAGCAAAGTGGAAAAAGGAAAAATTCAGTCATTGAAAGAGAAAGAAATGGTTTTTTTTTTCTTGTTCTTATTTCTTATTTTACTTGATTTGATGGTTGTTGAATATTGCAAAAAACTTAAAATTTTTGAAAATTTGTTTTTATTGAAAGGAAATCTTCCAGAAGATTTTTCTAAAATCCCAGAAATAAAGAATTTATATCTATAATTATAGAATTATAGAATTTTCGTAATTTATAATTTATTAAGAATTTTATTTCTATCGGATTTGCTTAATTTTTACGAATGTTTCAGGTAATTAAATTACGAAAACTTAATTTTATATACGTGTGGGGCGAAGATATACCGGCACCAATTGTTGATTTCAGCTCAATTATCGGTATTCCTGAACAATTGCTAAAAAATCTCCAAGAATTTGATATAACAGGGCCAACACCTATCCAAATGCAGGCAATAACAATTATGCTACAACGGAGGGATTTATTGGCTAGTGCCCCTACTGGTTTGAATTTTTATTCATTCATTATCTTATGAAATTTAACAAAAAACATTACAAATGCTACAATACGGTGAGCTCAATGCTTCGTACGATTTATTGGAATAAATCAAATAATTTTAGGATCTGGTAAAACGTTAGCTTTTGTTATCCCTCTTATATTACAAATAATTAAAAGGAAAGCTCGACTGAAATCGCAGACAGTTCATTCCTTATATGCTGTGATCCTGGAACCGACTCGTGAACTTTCTAAGCAGGTCCAAAACCTTTAATAAAACCTTTAATTTCTATAATTTTGGATTTTTTCATTTTGTATATAAGGTCAAAATATTTAACATTGGTATTTATAAATTTTATCATAAATTTTAGACATATATGCAGTGTTTGAAGTTTGCTCAAAATCTTCCTGTAACTTGTGTTTTTATGACCGAAAATGAATTTCTTGATAGTGGTATTTGAATATTTTTCTTGATTTTTATTGACTTGTTATTTGAAATATTTCCAGATCTATTTGTTTTGAATCTTTTTTTTATCTTATGATATTTGATTTTTTGAAATAACCATGGAAAAAAATATGTTTTGCAGTACATGAATGCTTTGTTAGTAATTTTTTTAAGTTTATTTACTTTTTTTCTTTGCTATTTCAGCTGATATTATTGTATCTACGCCAAATAAATTAGCATTCTTATTAAATGAGCCGAAAATTGCATCGAAATTGAAGAAGGCCCGTTGGCTAATCGTTGATGAAAGTGATCGATTGTTCGAAACTACCGAAGGTAGTGAAAAATGTTTTAGAAATCAGGTAATTGCCTAAACGTAAATATTAGTTCTCTATTATTAAATATTAGTTCTCTACTATTATTATTGTAATATTACTTTTCTTTTTTCATTTACTCACTTTTAATGTTATTTGCTCAATATTATTTTTTAAATATTGTTTTTCTCACTTCTGAATCAATAAATCAGTTACATTTTCGCTTCTAATTCATTTGCATTTAAAATTAGATATATTCCTATATGTATTAAATTCCAGTTGGCCATAATATATCAAGCATGTTGTGGAAAATACATTCGACGAGCATTTTTTAGTGCAACATTTTCCTATGATGTCGAAGAATGGTGTAAAGAAAATATATTAAATTTGTCTATGGTCTGTATTGGTGAAAGGTTCAATTTATATATGCAATTGGTTTTTTTTATTTTATTAATTCATTTGATAAAATATTTAATCTAATTTATTTTAACAATATTAGCTGTTAATATTTTAAGAAATTCGACCGTTAATACAGTTAAGCAAGAACTTATTTTTTCTGGTTCTGAACATGGAAAAGTACTTGCTTTAGAATATTTGTTGAGAGAACGTTTTGAACCACCCGCATTAATTTTTGTTCAAGTAAGCTTTGAATTTTCCGAAAAAAGTCAAAATTTCTAAAAAATTTAATTTTTTGTACCGAGTGAAATAGGATTTTCAAATGGATATATGGTCAGAATTTGTTTAAATGTTAAGTGTTAAACATTTCAGAGTAAAGATAGAGCTCGACAACTTATTTCGGAAATCGGAACATTTCGGCCTTATATTCCTGCAGCTTTGATTTCGAGCGAAAAGAGTGAAAAAGAGGTGAAATATCTCCATTTTTATACATTTTTTCTTTTAATTTTTTTTTATTACTACAAAGTGATGGAGCGAAACTTTTTTGATTGCGAAATTTTATAGCGTGATGAAGCTATTCGGCGATTTCGCGAAGGCACAATTTGGGTGCTTGTGTGCACAGAGTTGATGGGTCGAGGGTTGGACTTAATGGGAGTCAATTTGGTTGTGAACTTTGATCTCCCAACATCAATTATCAGTTATATCCACAGAATTGGCTAGTTTTCCATGAGAACCTTTAAAAAATGCGCTTTCATCGACGTATTTTGAATACTCGTAGGCCATAATAGGCATAGCAGCAGAATAATCGAGTAGGTAACGGTTCGTGTTGAGTGATAAGGATACTGACTTCGGCAAAAGTAGATCTATCATTAAAAAATTTTGGTTGTGACACCTGTATTCCTATCTCCAGGTAAGAATTTCTGGCTGTCTTAACCAACGGAGCGAGTTTATCCGGAAGCGCTGAGTGCGGGCCGCTTATTCATTTATTATTTATAGTTTTATTTATTCATGAGACTGTATAATTATAACGAAAGGTTGGAATAGAGAGATGATCTATTTTATATGGGCAGTATACTTCTATTTTTCGTTAAAAAAGTCTCTCTGGATTTCATCTCACCGGTCAATAAAGCCGAATAAGACAGAAATGTTCTTACTATCTTCAGCAAAAGAATAATCGCTTTGCTATTATAGGTAGGACTGGTCGAGCTGGTAGAAGTGGACGCGCAATTACATATTTTACTGAAAGTGATATAAATATTGTTAGACCAATCGCTAATATTATTAAGCAAGCTGGTTTTTCGGTGCCTGAATATATTTTCAAAGTGCAAAAACTCAGCAGGTACTTTTTTTTACTTGTTTAAAATTCATTTAAAATATTAAAATATTTTCACTACAGTCACTATCTTTCTTTGCTAAATTTTAAAGATATTTAGGAGAGATAGAAAAAAAATATTGCGATTTATTCCTAAAAGGAAAAATATTGGTGCGATTAAAAAGCGGAAAGAAACAAAAAATAACAATAGCTCTTCAGAAAATTGTTGGTTTAAAAAAAATTCTGTAAAAAATGAACCACTCTAAACTTTTTTTTTGTTGTTTTATTTTTATCATTTGAAATAAGTATAAAACTAAAGTATAAAATTAAAATCAATTAAACTATGAAACTTTGCACTAAATTTTTAAAATTTTAAAAACTTTTTTCTTCATTTTCGTCAGAATTCCATTCGCAATCCCACTTTTTTTGTTGCAGATTAACGAATTTTTCTGTAACAGTTCGTAAAATATTTATTTAGCGAGAAAATTTAAATATAAGCTCAGTAATTTTTGCTGATTTCGTATTAATTAAATTTATCTGGTTCGGCAATTAAAATATATATTTCTTCTTGCCACTGAAAAAATTTGTTTGTGGATCTATTACTGGTCAAGATTCTTACCCATATGTTATATTTTTCCCATATGTATTATATTTATATTTATTATTTACTATATTGTTTGAGCATTGTTTAATGGATGGCTGATTATTTTAAAAACCATATGATATAAATTATATAATTCTTGTAAATCCAATTAGATTCAAATTATATCAGTTTGTATGGTAAAAGCGATTGCTTGGTACAAGCTGAGATACTGTTCAAAACTTTGGACCATTCGGAATCGTTGTTCACGAAGTGTTCGGATGCATTTAAAAATGTCTATATCACCTTCATATTTCAATTTTTGTAATAATATATCCAAAGCTATCAGTACGCCAGTTCGCCCCACACCAGCACTGAAAGTTAATGATTTGACAATAAATTTCAGTAAATTTAATGCTCATGCAAGAAGCAATAATATGAAAGTAAAGCAGATATATTGACTATATAGTAGTATCTGAGGTAACTTAAGTAGAGACTAAGTAGAGACTGAGCCGTCGTGATAAGTTTTGTTCACGTGGGGTTAACCGAATTTACCGCTTTAAGACGTCCCATCGTAGCTATCATTGTCATTTATCTAAGTGACGATTTGCAAAAAGATTTTATAGGAACTCCCTTCGCTAACATTTCTTTTAAAACGAAACGATTAATCAGAGAAAGTTGGAATATGCAGGAGACGCTAATGGTTTGTCCGCCTATGTAGTTGCGTACCTTGATTAGGTGATGTTCTTCTGCTAATTGCAAGAAATGACATGCATGTGTCATACCAAGCCAGGTTAACAAATGGGGGAATCCTTAACGATTTCTCATTCATACAACAGTAACATAAAGAGTGTGAGAATGGATGTCTTTATTGTATATTTATTTGCTTGCGATTTATGGTTTCTGTGCTTCGCTTTAGTGTGCTAATCATGTTTCGCTTACGTTCCCGTCGTTACCATTAAAAGTTTGGTTGAAAAAACTCAGGTTTGAGGTTGTGGTTCAAAGATTACAATAATTTTGCAACAGCGAGATTAAACCTATGAAACAAGCATTGCATTTTAAAGCTTTTTCATTGAATATCACTTAAGTTATCAAATTTTTTATATTCGATCGCTTTTAGGGAAATAACAAATTTAGAATAATGCAATTTTTTTTTGAAAGCACTGTTTTCAGTATTTTAATTGGAAATACTTTGTGAAAAATCAAAGGCAAAAGACACCGACCTGCAGTGCACAACTATCGGCAAACTTGGTTTTAATTGGTGAATATCTTGAATAAATTTTATAAGGTGTTCGGTGTTTTGTGGTGCTCTAAAATCTCGCCAGTTTTTAAACTGTAAGTGATATATACTTCTTTTTTGGCCAATTACAACAATCTCCATTTTCCGTTGTATGTATGTGCATTTATCTAATATATCCACTAGTCTAATTAATATATTTCCATATTGGCAAGTTTTGTCGATTTCTTTTGGCCAATACTGATCACATTTCTGAAAATAGATTGATACAAATAGTATTAAAAGAAATAAAAGAAATATAGTATTAAAATAAAACAAACATAATATTATAAACATAGTATTATAAGCTTAAGTTAAATTGTTAAAATTATAGTTTATGAATCTCTTCCAGCTCCACTGGAAAAGATTCATTTTCTAAGGATATGTGAAATTTGCATAATAATTCACAAAAAACCTGCTTATAGGAAAATTTAGTTTATGAAAAATTGATCTAAAATATGGTTCCACTAGACTATAAATATCAATAGAGTAAGAAAATATTCTTAGGATTTTTTTTCATTTCAAAAAAAACAACTTCCAGCTTAATTATATTCTTTATTCAAGTGGGAACTGATAATTTCTGGTCTTGCACTTGTTTTGTGATGGTATAATGGTACTACTATTCCTACGTGATAAAAGCCTTTCGTCTTAATAGCAAATAATTTATTTTTGTCTAAATTTTTCTCGTCAAACTGGCCAGCCAAATAAATGGTGAGCGCTAATAGCAAAGGGAGAATAATTGTTATCGGTTTATGGTAACAAATTTTGAATAACATTTTCGAAAAAATGCAAGGACGAATTCTTATTAAAAAAAAGTTTGAACCTCAAGTTCTCCGATACATTCGGTAAGCATAACTACACAATTAACATTTTGTTGCCATATCATTGTCCAAAAGTCTTCGATTGTGCAATCGTGATTATTACTTTGCTTTTCATCAGTGATACTCATCGGCCCTTGAGTAGCGATATAATAACGTTCTGCATTATAACCCTTAATCGTACTTGAGGTGGTCGCCATTTAAGTAAGGCGTGTCATCAAACTATAATATTATTATCGCAAAATACGAACTCCCATAAGTCAGTCGTGGAGTGGTGGAGTGCACTGGAAGAAAGGCACTAGCCAGACTAACCACCTATTTCAGGAGAACTAATCTTTCATTAATTCAGATTTTACAAAAGTTTGTAAACCGTTAGACCGTGCTAACCAGATTCATATTTCTGTATTTCTGTAAATGCCACTTCTCTTATTGTATAGTTTATAATATAGTTATAGTTTTTATAGTTTTTAGTTTTATAATTATCCGGAAACAATGATACGATGACAAGAAAATTAGTCCCTTGCAATTGTAATTATGTGATTAGAATTTTTATTTATTTGGAGATTTGGTGATTTAAAAATATAATAACTTACATTAATAAAACTTGCATTTATATAATTACTTGAATGATTCAACAATGGAACTCGATTAAATTCATCTGGAATTAACAAATTTTTTTTCATTTATAAATGTAATAAATGAAAATTCGGGATGCAGTCAATAAGAAAAAATTATTTTACCTGAGTTCATCAGTTTATAGCAACATTTATCATTCCATTAATTTGATAAATGTTAATAATAATGCTACAAATATCGATAACAGTAATAGCAAAATTAAGTAAAATTTTAACAAACATGGAAGAATATCCATGAAACGATTTTTCCGCATATTTTGACTGCTTTGGTATATGAATTTCTTTTCGACCATAAAATCACAGCTTAAAGCCTAAAACACGTGAAAATCTAAATGGTGCAGAAATTTTACAGATAAATATCTTTGCAAAAAAATTCAAAAATTCTTATAGAATGGTAAGAAAATCAAGTTAACTATTTTGCACACCTTCGAATTGTTCCTTACGAAATTTCATTTTTTATCATCAATAATTTGTTAACAACTGAATTCTGAATTCTGCACTCATTTCTTAGTAAAAAAACTAAATTATTATATAAAATTCCTACATCAAATTCCTTTCTCATTTTCTCTAACGTTTCTTGATTAATGATGCGGAATTTCTCTAGGAAGACATCTTTGGGAAAATCCCTGAAATACAACATAATGAGCAATTGATGCCATAAAAGAAATTAAAATAGGTGATGGCGAACAAAAATGATGGAAAACTCGCCAAAAAAGCACGATTCATCATGAATAATGAATTCTTTGATGAATTGTAAAACATACATATTTAAATTCATAGTCGAATTATTTAAAAACTCAGCATAAGTTTCATGAGAAATGAATAAAAAGTACGGAAAAATGCAAAAAATTAGTTCGAGTTTAATAACGAACGTTTTGCCTACGTCAGCCATTAACTGATTTTTCAGAAATTGCAAAGAAGGCACTTTTATTTCGATTGAACTGCAATGAAACTATTGAAAAAATCTATAAAAAATAGATTGAATTGGTTCTGCAGACAGTTCTACGCGAAAAAGCAAAAGAAGAAATTGGCTATAGAAGAAATAAAATCTGAATTTCCTCGAATAAATTTAAATTATTCTAAAAATCTTTCAGGAATCCAAAAGTTCAAACCTTCTTCTGCTATTAGCACCCAACGTTTCTTGCTCTGTTAGCTCTACTGCCTACTGCACAGGATGAGAAGCTTAGTCATTTGGTGAGGTGACCTCTCCGCATTATCCGAATTTTATTTTCAATTATAGGTTTACTGTTGTCAAGAAAGAGAATTTTTACAAATGATGCCAGTAAAAAGCCTGCATACTACTCGATTATCCTTTTTATAAGCTTACATTAAAAAAATTTTATGTTAAAATTCTCATTTTAATCGACTGTGCTATATGTTTCCTGTATAAGAAATTTAAAAGCATTTTGTAAAAATTAATAAATTTGAGAGAAATTTTCTTTCATTAATATTGATGATTTGTGAAAAACTGTCTATTTTGGACTAAACGAAAACATTACCGACGTTGCTTCTTGGTACGTTCAGTAAACGTCGGTTTAAACGTGGAAATTTGCAAAGTGCTGACATTTTCTGTCGCCTCGAAGCCCTGCAAACTGAATTCTTGAGCCATCTTTTTTTTGTTCTTTGATTTAAGCAATACAAATTTGATATCAAACCTTTTTTGAGCTTTTTAATTTATTGAAGTGTCTTCGATAATAAAAGAAGAATATAGTAAAAATGCAAGCCAGCGATGCAGCAGAACAGATTAAATATAAAAATGGAAGATACAAATCTAAAAATGAATTAGAATAATTTATGAGCTTTAAGAAATCCATTATAAACTATTTATATTCGAAATTTAGGAAATGAATAAAAATCTGATAATAAAGAATATATTTTCTTATTCATATGGCATATTCTTTGTATTGATGTATATTGATGTTCAAATTTCTCGGATTTATTCGCATCCCAAATGATCAAGTGGAAGACGGCATTCCAATTGCAGCTAGAAATATCCTCGAATATTTTGAACAAACGTTTCAGCTCGAAACTTGGCCAATGAGAGTGGAAGATATCAAGAAGCCGTTGCTTTTGATCATTATTATCTAAGATCAACTTGCACTGATAGAATCTGCAGTGATTGCACCCATTTTTTCTCCAATACAGTCTTTAAAATGTTACAGAGTGTCGTCTTCGCTGGTTAGGCCATGTTCTTCGCCATCTTCAGTATTGGCACATATTCTTGTGGTGGCAATAAAAAGGTAAAAGCTCAATCAAGATAAACGACGATGAAAAATAAATGCCCTTTATTACTTTCAAGTCTAGTTTCGGACCAAGGGGTTGAGAAACGTCTCAACCTCACAGCTATCGCAGACAAATCAATTACTAATGGTGCCAGCTTTTATATGAAAAAGAAAGGATTAATAATCTTCTGCGAATGGCACTCAACATTTCTGGTTTGGCTTGCACCACTCGTCATCACGATGATATTTCTTCGCCAGCGAGTCATTTCGGAGCGGAATATTGAGTTGTTTGTGTAAGTTTCTTTTCGAAATCCATTTCAAAAACTTAAAATACCATTTATAATCGAAGGATTTAGGCAAATTTTCGTAAATTTGTGACTGAAATTGGATAAATTGATCTCAGTTTTTATGAATATTAAAATAATGAAAAAAATTTATTTCTCCTCCGATTGCCATGAATCATTTTGTTTAAAAATATTGTTGATTCTATAGGAAATAGTCGGATAAATTCCACAAAAATAAACAAAAATTTTTGGCTCATTTTTTTAAAAATACAAATAAAATTAGTAATAAAACAAATAAATGCTAAATAGACCACTAGAAATCACAATAATGTCTTGTAAAAATCATTTATTTAATTATTACCGCTGCAGGAATTCTGTTCTTTCAAATAATAATTAACTAAAAATTTAAAGAAGTTAAGGACCTCAGTAAATCTGGCAGAGCATTTTTTTAAGAGTTCTCTATTACTGGTTAAATTTGCCTAACTGAACAAATATGCCAGGAAGTCCTTTGGCGACAGATGGACAGATCCACTGCTGCCAGAAGTAGAACCTCAGCGTTGGCACTCCAAATTGAGCAAAGAATCTACTGAGCATTTCTGCTTTCCTTTGTTTTTCTCCGTTAAGCATCGCTGTCAACGAAGAATGGTGGATTGGAATCCAAGCCTTGTTTCTCGGTGGCAACTAACTTATTACTCAGTCACCGATGCAGAAATTTTTAGCTTTTTTTTAAGTGGAGATATATGTCTATGGTGAAATATGCATCAAAAGTTTGATTGCTATAGCAGTTAGTGAATTAAAAGTGAAAGTTCCCTGTATTTCCACTCCAAGTTTCTATGGTGGTGATTCGTAAAAGTAAATATAAGAATTCTCTACCCAAAGATCTCACATTGGTAGTGAATGAAACTGGAAACAGCGAGTGTTGTTGGAAGATGAAGAACAGAATAGCATGTTATTTCTAACAACTAGTAAGTCCAAACATCGTGGCTTCTATCCCTGACAAGTGATAAGTCTTGTCATCATCATAAATCCGAGTAAAAAATCCGAGTGGTGTGACCGACCTATATTTCCTTTTATTTCCATATGTAGCGATTAATTTATACAAGAAAAATTAAATGGCTCAATACACCAAATTAAATGGTAAGTAAATTAGAAATCCTCATTTTTATCAAAAAAGTGACAAATTACTCAATTAATAAAATATAAATTTATATATTTTTAATTTCATTTTATTTTATCAAATTATCGATCCAATTTTAAAAATTTTAGGGGCCTAAATTTTTGAAAGAATGAAATTTATTTTACACAGTAATAATGTTAAGAAATTAATTACCTCTAATGAAGATGAAATAATCCATTTCGATAAAAAGTAGTAAATAAAACGTTTGTCTGTTTCGATCAGAAGCATAAAAAAAGGGGGAAAAAACGATCACTGATAATCAATTCAACAAGCGATCAAACACGTGATGAAAAGATGATCGAGGAAGAAAGAGAACGGAACAATAAGCCATCACCAGCAATCACCAAAAATTGATCCATGTTTGAGCATAAATTTTCTCAGTTTATATAAATTTTTTGATTCTTGATTTCTCCCAGCTTTCCTCCATCACATTTAATATTATCGACACGAACTTTCCACTACTTTTTTTATTTTCAACTATTTTTGTAATCATTCCAGAGCCAGTAAGATTGCTTTTTTTCCGATTTTATTTCATTATATTTTATAATCATTGAACGCACTGAACTATTTATTTTTAACAAATTTTCAAAACTTTCATGATTTTTTATGCCATAAAAATAGATATATTATAGAATAGATACAAAATTGAAATAATTAATAAAGGTTCAAAAAATGGATCCTAGAAATAAATACGAGGATTTACAATATGGCTTTCCTTTTTTTTACGAGCTCTCCATTACTGATTAGACTCGCTCCGCTGATTTATCTCACTAAACAAATATCGCCAGGGAGTGTCTTGGCGATAGAAGTACTGGTGAATACCCAGCACCACCCGGATTTCCGGGCATATTTACTCCTGCGGGGAATAGAACCTCAGCCTCGGTGCTCCAAATTGAACAACAACCCACCAAGATATTCTATGCTCTACAGTGTCATTTACATTTGTAAGATTAAGATATTTTATGCCATTTAAATCTACAATTCGAATATTGCTAAAAAATTCACACAAATATTCCCAAGTGACTCTGCGATTTAAGTGTTACTTCAAAATAACATGTCGAATGAGCTTAAATGGTATATGCTGCATAAAAGAAAAGTAGTAAATAAATCTACAAATAAAAACTGAATAATACAGCAGTCTGAATTGTATTAATATCTTTTGATTTTCCAGTTTTAGATTCCCTCGTGCTAATGATTTTTTTCTTTTATAATAGTAGGTCGAAATTATTACCTATATTTCATTTTTTTTCTAGATTCACCTGTTCTATAATTCACCTAATTCACATTGGCGAATTAACAGGTTACCAGAGCACTTGTGGAAAAAAGTATTAATAGGTACTCACCACCAACTATATTGTGATTTTAATGACAGGTTTACTACCGTCAAGGGAAAGGGATCGAATAACAATCGGTGCTTGATTACCGAAATTTGTTCAAATACATATCTCCTAAATATATAATTTTTTCCAGCACTCTTCTCGAAGCTCGAAGTGTGAATAATTCTATTTATTTTTATCGTTTATAATTACTTTCATTTTCATCTTTATTTTCATTTAATTAATCGAAAAATTAGAAAAAGTATTTTCCTGAAGTTTCTATGCAATAAAAATTTAAAAATTTGATAAAAATTTAATTTAATTTAATTTAACAAAAAAAATTTAGTTTAATAAAAATAAATAATAATAAAAAATTAACAAAATTAACGAAAAAATTTAAGTAAAATAATGCTGAAATTTGCTAATTTTCTGTTCCTAATTTATTTAGTGATAAACAACAAAAAGAGAAAAAAAGAATGGTAAATGGAAAAATTTATTGAATAAAGAACAAATATAGATGAATGTGGATGATCACTGGAAGATGGCGATATTTTTAAGGCACAAAGGTTGACGCAAGCTTAAATTTAATCACATTTAACAATCTGTTTCAGCCGTGTTTCTCGTCGCATCAGTATTTATCACTGAGATGGCGCTTCTTTTCATAATATCATCGATCTTTATATCAATAGTGGCATTTTTCAATTTCGGTTTGAGTGATGGGCCTATGTTTAGATCCAATTGAGTATCCAAACATCGACTCTTGATAAATGCTTTTTCTTGCAGATAGAAAAAGCAGCCAGTAGTTATTATAAGTGCCCATATCTGAAACGATATACCAAAAGTTTGATTCATCAAAACATGCAGTCTAAGATCATATAAGATTATCTAAATCGAATTTAAGATAATGATAAAGTGACTTTTTAAATAAACCATCACTTTTTATGTAATTGATGTGCCCCAAACGCAAATTAAGTTTCTGGAAGAATTTCTAGATTCTATCACTTTATCATTTTTTTTTATGAATACAGCTAGCACTTTTCTACAGTTTTAATTGATCTCTTTGAATGAACTTCTACCGACTTTATTAAATTCATTTTACTGTTAAAGTAACCAAAAAAAAATACAGACAGATGGATGAAACTCGAAGACAGGAAATGATACTAGAAAGGCGAGCAAATAGACACCAGCAAACTAAACGGTCGCATATATTTGTTTTTCAACCATTTCATAACAAAAAAAGACAACTTCTGCTCAAATATCCCGTCATTTTTATATTTTTAAAATTTTTTTTGAACATAAAATATCAAATCTTAAGTATTTTTTTAAAATAAAAGAGGACGGCCAAGTAGCTGCAAATTAAATTGTCAAAAGTCAGGAAAAATCCTGCAGGTTCAAAAAGAAATATTAAAAAATCTAAACGGTATTGTGGATCAACCTATATTTCTATCGCTATGTGACTAGCAAGAATTTCTCATCATGTTAAAGTGGAGCAGTCTTAGCGAGAAAAAAGTAAGTGCCAATCACTTATTTTTAATAGACTATGATAATACAACAATTCCAAATAAGGAAATGCTAAATTTTGCCTAAATTCAGTTTTGATCTCTTAGCTAACCACACTCACACCATAACAAATAAGAATGATAAATTGGAGAGTAGAATAGCTAAGTGCTCAATTCGGAGCGCCGATGTTAAAGCTCTAATTCCCTCAGGAGTAAACCTGTGCAAAAATCCGGGTGGTGCTGGCGACTCACCTGTACTTCTATCGTCAAGGGACTCTCTGGCCAATGCCACAAGCCAGCAGAGCGAGTTTAAACAGTACTGATTTTAACTAAAGGTTTCATATAAATAAATAAGAAGGAAGGACACACAATATAGTGAATAATAGAAGGAACAACAGAAGGAAAAAGAAAACTTTTTAACTGTTTTATTCTCATTATTCTTATTTCTTATTTTATGTTCAATTTTATTCTTATTGCTTTGTTTTTTGTTTGCTTCTTTCTGTTGGTTCCCCTTATATTATATATCCCCTTATATTATATAAATATCGTTCTTTTTTTAAACCAGTATATGGCCTTTCGTATGGCCTTTACTTGGTTCACTGAAATATATACAAAAGTAGATGGTTATTGCTCACCGCTTCCTATTAGCTCTGTTGACTATAAGACATTTACATTTAGACATTTTTGTCAGAATCACTTGACGACAGAAGTATAGATGACATTACTTTATCCGGATTTACCAATAACTAGTTGTCAGGAACAGGATTTGAATCCTTGACTTTTTAACACACCGATTTTTGCCGATTTCCTACTCCTAACTTATGGAATTACAGAATTCAAAATATTACCTGCAGCAGCATAATTAATAAAAATATAATGCTTATGATTATAAGAACTATGGATAAAACTGAATTTACAATATCAAAATGAACTGGCACTGATTTTATGGACCTCAGTGCAAATTCTCCTTCGGGACTGTTTTCCACATTCACAATCCTGCAATTTTTTATTCACTATTTTCAGTTTCTTTTGATAAAAAATATTGTGTAAAAATATCGAATTGTATTTTTTTAAAAATTTGAATTCGAATTAAGAATTTATCGAATATTTAATTATGGTGATAGATCAGTTTCTTTTTCATTGTAAATTCAACTGTCATAAATCACTGCTTTTGCATTAACTAAGACCCAATAGATAAATATAGAATTTCGAATCTGAAAATTGCCAGTTCGAGTTCTGCCAGGGCATAACTTTTAACTTCTGCTACCTTTCTCCTCCTATCCCGGCGTATTTTCAAAAACATTACCTAATAAACTTTTTAAATGAAAAATCTTACAAAACTGTTCTGAACTGTATGAATTTTAAATAAGTCTCAAAGGCCTCATATTGCCTGAATTTCAAATGGAGAGTACGGAGAATGGAAGTTGTAAACTTTTGATTTGCACTTTTAATTCTTAAGCACTACAACTAAATGCAACAAAAATGTGGTAATTGGCGAAGTGTTGCATTACAATTCTTATTTGACCATATCTCCTGCCATTTAAGTAACAACCATTAAAGAACTGCTTTAATTGTTATACATATCAGTTCTGAAAAATCGGTTATTCCAAATACTGGTTAAATATTAAAATTGATTGGTGCCATCGCATTTATTATAATTAATATTAATATTAATAATTAATATAATAATTAGATTAGATTTACAATAGTCATTCATAATAAGTATAATAGATCGTAGATCGTGCAGGAAAAATTTTAGTACTTAAAAGCCTCAGATAGTAATAAAAGTCGCCGGTTTTTTGTTTATCAAAGAAAATACCTGAGTTCAAGGCTAGTTCCCACTACAACCATGAATATACAAAATAAAGTGAATATGAACAAAACGAATATGGCAGCTACCTGAAATTAAATATGGCTTACATATTTCGAAATAAATCAAAAAAATGGCTGGCTCATATGGTTTTAACTGGAATTTTCGTTCGTTATAAATTTCTAAATTCTGAATCTGTAGAGAAAAGCATTTGAATACTTTTCAGTTGGAAACAAGAGTGGTCAAGTGGCACGATCGCTTCGATCTGCATCGAGTATCCAAGTATTTCATAGGATTTCCATAAATAGGGAAATTGTAATTAAGAAATCCTACTGGTTCTGATGATTGTCACCTATAACATCGCCAGGTGAATCCCTGGTAAAAAATTCTAACCGCACTAAAAGCTGGTATAGCAAAAATGGTATGCATTTAATTAACCATTTACTGTACCCTTTTGATTAATTTTATAAAATTTACTTAAATTTCACGAAATGAATTATATCTAACAATAATAATAAAGAAATAACAATAATAAAGAAACCAATGAAAACCTTCCTATAGAAATTGCTTAAATTGCTTATGATAAATACAGATATGACAAATATTTAGCCTAATTAGGCCATTGTTTGTCCACAAAGCAAGTTTTAAAAATTTCACCTGCATTAGTAAATGAGGAACGAGTAAATATGGAGTTACCGTCCAAATTGCTACAAATAACAAAATAATAGCTATTATGGCAAGAAATAAACCGAATAACGATAACGAAAACGATAAAACAAATTGTTCACCCGTTTGAATGAATAAATAAAATGTTGAAAATACCTGTAAAAGGAAATACCTGTTTTTTTTATAACCTCTATGATAATTTAATATTTCTTTTAATTTTAAACAATTTAGCATTTTTTTTCTACGGCAAAATCTAACCTAATCTCAAAACCCAAAAATAATCGGAAATTTATTTTCACCCCCAATACTTTTGATTGAACTTAATGATTCGTTTGGTATTTGAACCTCTTAATTTTTTTTGTTTTCCCTATAGCATTACCCATCGTGCAAGGAAATTACACTGGCTTTTGTCGCAATATAGGTGTAGAATCTGAAACATAGAATCTGCTTGTGAAATATTACGAACTGATGAATAAATTGACTCACCTCATAGGAAAAATATACTAATTCTAATGTTGCAATAATAATTGAAGCTGTTTGCACATCTAATAATTTATAGAAACACCGGAAACGTTGCTTGAGCTCATCTGAATCCGAAGTTGAGGCTTCTACATCCATTGCCTATAATTACAATATATTCTTAAGAACTGTTAAATAGTAAACAGTAAATCTACTCCTAAGTTAGGACTAACAATGTCTTGCAACAAAAAATTCATGTAAAATAAAACATATTGGCGTTGCATTCAGTAAATGGCAAATAAGATAGTCAAAAGAAAGAATCAGATTTCTATTCTTCTTTTTATAATCGAGCCTAAAATTAACGGTCCTTTTCTGGTATGTCTTACAAAATTTTATTAAATATTAAATAGGATAGTAACCAAAAATTATCGCAAAAACGGTTAAAAGTTAAATCCATCCGATTCGAAGATTCTCGAAACCTCAACGCGAAAAATATTTTTAAGTAGAATTTACAGATAAGCAATTTCTAGTTAACTTAGTCTCGCTGTGGCTGTTAATATACCAAGAAATTTTTTTTTTAAAAAAAATGGAATCACTTGATAAATTAAAGTTAAAAGAAATTAAAGTTGACTGACATCAATGATTTTTTAATGGCAGATTTCTTCTTGCGAGGGCACAAAATAATTTACTGCGGTAACTAAGTATGATTTGAAGAAATTATGATTTCTTTATGAAATGAAATTATAAAATTATAAAATTATGAATTAGTTCTGCAGATAGGTTTTGTTAACTTCATATCATTAGACCTAATTGCAGTTAAAGGCCTAGGTTATAGTGCTTGGCAATCCAATTTAATGAAGCCATAATAAAATTTTGCAAGTTAATATCAAATTCGGTTTAATCCTTTTCATTTTTAATGACTCTAAGCTATCCAAATTTCAGTTTTGCCTTAAAGTTAATGGAACAGATTAGCAAACTTAAGATGGTCTAAAATTTGATGGTTTTTTTTTCCTTTCTCCTTTCTCTGAATTTATTTGATTTATAAATTTAATAATATCATATAGACTTGTCTCTGATCTGCAAATGAACAAAAATTAGGTATTCAGATGGCAAATTTAACTCTCCTTTCTGTGCAAAACAATACTATTCTCTAGGAAACCTTTCAATACTCAGGATAGTGCAGAAAAGTTGAACAACAAATTAGAAGTAACAAAAGACAAGATAAATTATATAATTTAGCACCGCAGGCTTGAAAATAAAAAAATTTTTTGCGCCTAAAACGATATTATTTAACTAAAATTATTATTTAATATTATTATTTAACTAAAATTATTAAATAATGTTTTACTGAAACAACATTGCTTATCGAAATATTTTATAAAATATGACAAAAAGCTATTTGTCAACAGAAATCAGATTTAATGTATAATGCAGAATTCATCACATAATTTTGTAAGATTCGAATTTTAATTAAAAAATTAGAATTAAAAATTAAAAAAAATTTAAAAAAAATTTGAACTTTATTACGAAATATTTGCATGTAACCTCGTGAAAATTCCGAATAATTTCGTAATTTAGAAAATAGATTGAAAGGTCTAAAAACATGCTAAACATGTTTGCTAAAATGCTAAATGCTATGGAACTTTTTCAATTTGTTTTGAAGCATCTGTACAAAATGAAAACCATAAATGCAAGTAAAAAGTCGATCCTGGAACAAACATTGCACGTAGCATATGTACACCGAAGCAAACCAATTTTCGAGAATAAAGTGATTAAATCGAAATAACTAAAATTCTTTGGAAAATCACCTATTTGAGAATTGAATATCTGTCATTTTTTTTTGAAATGGTGGTTTGTTTCGGCATATCTAAATGCAAACTATGGAAAAATGTCCTGTTTCTCGAAAGAATGCCAGTAAACTTATGAGGAGCTGCATGCTTTTGCAAAATAACTAACAAGTGCTTTCGTGGTGAAGTCATTGCAAGCGCGCATTTATGGCCAATTTTATATTTAATTACATCTTTTATCGTTTAAATTTATTCGCATTTATTTATTTATGAGTATATAAATGAAGGAAAGAATTCCAAAGTATTCCGAAAACATTTTGTTTTTGGCCTTTCGGTCTATTTTGATAAACTATTACGAATTTATTCGCGAATATACGCGAAAATATCAGGATATAAATATAAATATCAGGAAGGCAATTGCAATTGACGAATTTGTGATAAATTCCATGTTATGTAAAATATCTAAAATTATTTTGGTAAGTAATAATTAATGCAGTGGTCGAGTGGATAGTGGGTGAGACTATCGTGAACGATAGCCTCCATACGCTTCCCCTTTGCCTTCCTTCTCGGACCAAAAAAAATCTGCCATTGGAGCATTTATGACTAAATAATCCTCTGCAAAGTGATGTCACGAATTATGTTAATGGAAATTAGATTAAACTGATATCAAAATATATTCAGTGGTTGAATGATCGTATTACTAGCAAAGTCCAAATCTTCCTTTTATCATTATTTCATATGGGTGATCGATGAATTCAATATCGAAGCAGAATGGGCGCTAATCGAGCAGCTCCCAAATTTGTTATTGTGGTTTAGGCATCGCAATGTTTGAAACATTTTTCTCAAATAATGTCCCTATCTAACGAAAATTTTAAAATCTTCTGAAAGGTTTAAGAAAAAAATATTGAATTTCCATGGATAAAAATATAATTTTATTAATACATGGAAAAAAATTCAGGAAAAGAAAAGAACTCAAAAAACTTGACCTTCTTATATGGCTCACAACAAATCAGAACTTCATTCATGCATAAACTTTTTAAATGAACATATTACAATGAACTTTTAAAGGAATTCCGAATTACGTAATGAAATGATGAAAAATACGATGCATGCTTGATGATAAGAATGATTAGAAATGAAGAACGAAGTCAACGAATAATGAGAAAAAAATTATGATTTTTAAAAAGGAATAGCGCAAATGGATGCAATGCGTGGATTCACACGTAAAATTTCCAAAATTTAAAAAAAAAATTTCTCGAAAGAATGAAAAGGAACATTAAAATTCATCAAAAATATGACAAGGTGTTAGATTTAAATGGGATTAAATAAGATTAACAACAATTATTGCATAAAATAGGTGATAGTGTAGTGCTGAGAACAGTAAAATATTGTCAACTGCACTGCATTCTAAACTTAATTGTGAATTTTCAACGACACGTAAAAGAATAAATTCTTTCAAGGACGCCATATTTAATTGACAAATCTAAATACAACGAATTAATTGACGAAAATTAACGAATTTATATTTTCAATAAATGTGGCTTATTTCGCTTTTGTGGATTGCAATATTTTGCAGTTCTAGAATTATATTTTGAATTTTATATTTCCTCAATATAAGAAATAAATTAAAGAATTATAAAGGTTTAAAATTTCTTCTCTTCCTCTTCTCTTCATACAAGTTGACGTCTCAAAAATTAAGATCTAACTTTAAACCTTCCAACAGTATTTCTAAAATTTCTAATTTCTAAACCACTAAAATATTTCCTGAGCCAAAAGGTTTTCTGAAGAATATGTGCATATGAAACCCTAATCGTAAGCTCTCATAAGAGATGCCTCAAAATTTCCCGATAGCCTTTCCTAAGAATTTAAACTATTGGTCCAAAATAGAAAAATACCAGCAAGTGGCTGTCATTATTGTAATTGTTCAATCAACCACTGTCAGCGTCATTTTCAAAACCAGAAATTACTACCACTATATTAGAAGTGGCGTTAGAAGCGCTACCTTAGGAAGCCCAGAATCGATGTTGTCAGGATAATATTTTTTGGATAATTTATCATTACATTAATGATCTCGCATGAGTATATTTTATATTATTAATTGTACAAGGAAAATCGTTAAAGAATACATCTCTTACACAAAAAAAGAAAATAATTCCTTGATAAAGAAAGGTACGAAATAAAAATTTATTGGTATGCGATGATCTTCAACAGAATTAAATGAGATTTACAATGATTGAAAAAAAGAAATATTAAAAACATAGAATAAAAAGGAAAAAAGAAGAGAATTAACGGAATGGCCCACGAAATTCTTAAATTAACTCAAATTTATTGGCACTAAAACTAGGTCAAGCAAATGATTTCTTTTGTTTGCGAATGTCATTCATTCTTGTAAAAAGCACTTATTTTTTCAGATTTTCAAGGTTTAATGCTAAATTAAATACGCTTCACTTTTATGAGTAACTATTTCTAATTTGTTGTTCAACTTTTCTGCACTATCCTGAGTATTGAAAGGTTTCCTAGAGAATAGTATTGTTTTGCACAGAAAGGAGAGTTAAATTTGCCATCTGAATACCTAATTTTTGTTCATTTGCAGATCAGAGACAAGTCTATATGATATTATTAAATTTATAAATCAAATAAATTCAGAGAAAGGAGAAAGGAAAAAAAAACCATCAAATTTTAGACCATCTTAAGTTTGCTAATCTGTTCCATTAACTTTAAGGCAAAACTGAAATTTGGATAGCTTAGAGTCATTAAAAATGAAAAGGATTAAACCGAATTTGATATTAACTTGCAAAATTTTATTATGGCTTCATTAAATTGGATTGCCAAGCACTATAACCTAGGCCTTTAACTGCAATTAGGTCTAATGATATGAAGTTAACAAAACCTATCTGCAGAACTAATTTAAAAATCATAATTTCTTCAATCGTGCGATTAGTTATGCAGTAAATTACATTATGATGTGGCCCATTGTTTCTATGATTTCAAAAGAAAATTAAACAGTGTAAGCTGCAACATTGTAACTATCGCACCACAAGGATAATGCTGAAACAGAGGTTTTTATGGTATTGGCACGAAATAAGCTCGTATTTTGGTGCTTTTTCTTGATGCTATGTTTAATCTATCCTATATCTATTTAAGCTGTCTTATTTTGTTTGTTTTTATTATTGTGTAATTTCAGAAATTTAATAAATTTTAGGTACGTGGACACTATTAAAAATAATGTATACTACAGGAGTAAACCTGAATACTGATTATATTTATGCTTAAATAGTTTCAAAAACATTTACAATCTGTAGCAAAATATGAAAAATGATAATAATGATTTCTAGATTTTTAAAGAATATTTCTAAATATTTCTCATCTCATTTTTTCCTTTTTGTTCTAATGGCACTTACCATTTATGATTTGACTAGATTTAACTGAATTAATAGGATTGAAATCTCTTTATCAGAGAGTTACTTAGA